TCAATGACAGTATATAAACAAAAAAACAGGTTCATTACAATATCTTGATGATTTGAATTGGCGCGCGGAGCGTGCTGACCAATAGCGCCTGTTATCACCTGTGACGTAGCGACCAACCTGCGCAATATCATACCTTGTTTTCTTTGTACCATGGATCGAATACATCGAAGTTCGTTAACTTATAACCTAAATATCAACTTTAAACATGTCTAATTCATAATTTTACCAATGCTTATTCACGATCATGTTGAGGTTAATAGTGAAAATAAATATAGAGTGTTATATATTTTCGAGAAGCCCATGCCAAGCTGAATAAGAAAATTTAAAAATATACAGGGGGTTCTATTTAAAAAAAAACATAAGTATAATTAATATCTCAAAAAATATTTTTTTCGAAAAAAGTCTGACTACGCCACGGCGTTCTACACAGAAAAGTGCCTTTAGAATGTATAATTCATTTTTCCGTGGTTGCTGAAATAAACAAACTATCGAACATCTTCAAAAAGTACAAAATTTCAGAATCCCCCTGTAGGTTCGAAACCGATCAAGATAGCCACGATCCGTTTGCGCCATTGTATTTTTTTCAAAAAAAGAACCCGAGACTGCAGTATCAAAATTTGAATATTTCTCACGGTTTCCTAGATACCCTATAGCAACAACCAAAATGGTCCACCCTGTACATATGTACATATGTGGAGGGGGGGGGGGCAAATGTAATAGAAGAATATAATTTTATTTGTCATTGTTATAGTTATACACAGTTATACATATGGCATTAAATGTTACAATAGTTTATAGTTAGAAAATGCCCTGACTAATATCACGATTTTCTAAATTCTATCACCTCCATAAGATAAAACGCAATAACTTTAATTATTAACGCACTTATTTTGTCAAGGTAAATGGCATAAATTTGTCAAACAATAATAAAAACATTAAGTTTTACTGAAAATAGATTTGTTTACTGATTATTTTACCGATACTGAAATAAAAATAGGTTGTACAATTTACGTATTTAACATTTCAATTTAAAAATCATTAAGGATTTTTAAATTTTTATTACAGTCTTTATCTTCTGATTTAAGAAGATATATAAACTAACTATAGCTCGAAGTTGAAGATTGACTAGAGAAGCTGAACAAATTAGGCAAAGAAAATAAAGTCCTCCTACTCTGGCTATCAACTCACCAAGAGATAGAAGGTAATGAAAAAGCAAACGATCTACCTTAGGGTTGCCAACTTTCAAAATATATTTTTTTTGAAATCTCGCCCAATTGTCTAGAATTTACCAAAAAGTTATGTCAATGGTCTGCGATTGATGGTCTTTCTTACTTTCTTAACAATATTTATACTCAAAACTTGTTAAAATAAAACTAACCATTTTCAACAAAACTTTTTTCAAAACATGAGCCAACAATAAGTACCTAAACACATAAAATAGTTAAACATGTTTATCGCTTCCACAAATATTTCTTTTACATAAATATTTCTTCGACTTCGAGATACAGATTAACAATTTTTTAAAGCATTGTGGCGATACACAAACATTTTTTAGATTTTGAGTTTGGTCTGTAAAAAACAGGACTTTTTCAATACGCGAGAGAAAAGAGGACAGTGAGATCAAAAAGAGGACTGTCCTCAGGAAGAGAGGACGGTTGGCAACCCTAATCTAGCTAGAAAAAGAGCGAACTTTCTAACTGGACCAAAACCGTAGAAACTGTGATTTTTTATGGGCCATATTTTAAACTCAATGATCGTGGTGACTAAGGTCCGACCGAAACTGGATTTTTAGTCTCGGCCGAGACCGAGACACAATGCAATATTTATTCAAAGTTTAATATATGAAAAAATCTGATAATAGTGCAATAAAAATATTATTTTCATGCAGAAACGGGTTCATTGAGATTTTTTACTATAAAATTACTAATACTAATAAAATTAATTTTTTAGTCTATGTTATAGGCTAGAAAAGTAATTTTTCAGCATTGCATCCTTTCAAATTATGCAGTGTTTCATCATATTCCTTCTATTTGTTTGCTTGAGACGCTTGTTGGTGGCGCATACTAGAAATGTATAAGCTGCTGGTTTAAGAACTCTGTATGGAGGTGAATAATTAGACACAAAAATTTTATTAGTAGGATATACGAGTAATTCATATAAAAACACAATTCCGTTAAATTTATAAAACTTACATTAATAAGACACTAACATCTAACATTTCGTTCATTGTTTACGCATAGAAATACGATGGCGATTCTTCAGCCGTCCAGGAAATCCACTTTGTGATTCGATCAGATCATATATGGATCAGATATGATCCAATATTTTTTTTTTCGGTTTCGGACGAGTATTTCATTCATCCACCCATCGATAGGTGGAGCGATACGCTCAAAAATAAGCTCATTTAACAATCGTGAACAGTCTTTTTATGCCCAGAACGAGACCGAGATCTCGGTCGGACTTTAAGCCGGCTACAGACGGCATGGCAAGCCATGGCCAGCGTTTCAGCAAGCGACTGTAGAAGCGTTGATCTTCGCTTGATATTCGCGCACCGACGACCGTACACACTACATGTTTTATCTTTCCCAGTCTTTTCGAGGCAAGTGAAGGCGAACGTTGTACCAGGGTACAAATAACACAAGAAATGGAGTTCGACTCCGATGATGAAGTAATAGCAGCATCTGTTCTACTTTTAACTTCAACTGCATTACTCATTATATATATTATATATTATATTAGATTACTACAAGCTCTCTAGGACTAACATATGTCGTGTGTACGACGATCAAGCCAACTGGCGAGTTTCAACAAGTCCCTTTGATGTGTGTTGAAAATACCGCTTCATTTGCTTTGCCATATGTTTTACATACACACGATGGCCAAGGCTTGCCATGCCGTCTGTAGCCGCCTTTAGTGGCAACACCCGGTATAGTAACAACAAATAAAAATTTGTTAAGTGCGAGTCGGACTCGCGCACGAAGAGTTCCCTACCATTCATTATCTATACAACATTTGACACTATATTATTATAAACTTTTTTTTCGATTTAGCTGAAATTTTGACTGCGCGTATAAGTAATTTGAAGAAACACATTACTAAAAATTGTATTAATCAATAATAAATATGTAAAAAGTAAAAATAAATATGTAAAAATTAAAAAAAAACGATTAAAAAAAAGTCGCCTTGACTAGGATTCGAACCTGCCTTACTACGGCTCCAACGTCATAGCAGCGTAAAGTCCTAACGCTTTGACCACGCGGCCACCGGAAACTTGAAAGATTCTACGTAAAATTCTTACGTAAAAGATAATGTTTAGTGAAAGTACTTTTTTATTTATAAACATTTATTTAATTCTGTTTTTAGTATTTGTTCTTATAGCGGCAACATAGATACATTATCTGTGAAAATTTCAACTGTCTAGCTATAACGGTTCATAAGATAGACCTTTGTGACAGACGGACGGACGCCGGACGGACGGACGGACAGCGAAGTCTTAGTAATAGCACAGTTTAAAGAATATAAATATATCAGTTGGCCCACTCTTCGCCCGTATCAAAATTCCTCCCGCCGCTCCCCGCCTGTCTTGTAGACTTGGGTCAGTCTACATCCGTTGCTCGACGTGTACACAGCGTTCCAAGTTTATTTTAGTTTATATTTTTCATATGTTTATATTTTTTATACATTTTTCATATGGGGTTTCCATAATAATTATTAATAATAATTCCCCTATTGACAATTCCATATTCCAAAGAATTACGATAGAATAATATATCTAATATTTTAATACTAATGTATTCACCACAATATGTGTATGAGTAGAGTCTGATAAGGAAAATAACTTGTAGGTATGGAGCCTGGAAAAGTGCCTTAGGATTTATAGGATCCCACAGATACGAAAATTATACACCAGAACAATATCATAACCGTATTAGAATTTGCGGTTTATGAGATATGTTATTAAATAATAATAAGAAGAAAGTAAATAAATATTGATCAATTATTAAATACGCTTAAAACTGTTAATCAATAAAACTAGTACTGTATTTTTATTTTTCTACTTGCTATATTAAAATTCCTTAGTATTTTTAGTTGATCCCTCGTATACGGCCAGCGTTCTGACTGATAAAATAGCACTTCCGCTGCACCCGGTAAACGTACAAATTTTTTGTCACCTCGAAGTGTCACGGACCGCCTTTGAAGTCAAAATAACAATAGAATTCCTAAGAGTGAGCCAACTGTATACATTTATATTCTTTAAACTGTGGTAATAGGGTTCCCGTTTTTACCGTTTGGGTACGGAACCCTAAAAAACATTACAAGATTCTAATACGTACATATAAAAGTTAAACAGTTTAATAAGCTTTTTAGTCACTGAACACATACGAATTAACTACATTATTGCCTTCCTAATCATTTGAATACATAAACCTAATCGGTGTATTTAGAACTGACCAACCAATACGGTTAACGGAGTGATAATATTGAAAATTAATTACTTAACATTATTGTAATTAATAGGAAAAAATTGCATTCTTCGTGTTTGAATAATAATCTGTATTTATGTATACACTGCGATAGGGTAACTATTTAAAGCAAATATTTAAATTATTTATTTGTTGTTTTGTTAGACTGATTCTATTACACGTTTCGATATAGTCATAATAAAAGATTATTATTGGCAACTATTTATTAGTATTTGTATGTTATTTATTCTACAATTATTGATTTTGTTCAGAGGTAGTCGCAGAGGTAGTACACCTAGGAGAGAAACAATATGTCGAATTCATAAATATCAAATTAAAAACTTCAAGAAGATAAAGAAAAGTCAAAAAAAGACGTCAATGAATTGACATAATTTGCCCAAATTTTTCGACCCATAATTATTTGTTTTAGCGTTATTATCAATCACTAATATCCTAAAACTCTCTAACATAGTACTGTCAACTATTTCAATCGTTGATCGCTCCGTACTAAATATTATATTAAATTTGTATACACACCATTTCGACAGAATAGTGACATCTTTGTTGTGCTTGATCCAGGCCTTGAAGTTCTCGAAACCGACCTTGTCCTGACCAACTCCAAACAGCGATATCAACGTCCTGTCCCAGTTCGTGTTCGGTTTACTAACACCACCGTCAGATGGCGGTAGCGATCCTTCGATCTGTAATGCCGTTTGGAATTCATTCCGGCTTATATAGGTTCCTGGATCGTTGCAGTATAGCGTCCACAGAAACCTTAAACAACACAAATGTGTCAATATTAGAGAGCTTACACAGGGTTTTTCACATGAATATTAAATCATACAGGATGTTCAAAATTCTACGCCAAACTTACTAAAATATATAATATTTTTTCTTGTTTTTTTTAAATGAACACCCTGTATATTATTTTCTTACCTTATTAGATGGAGAATTAAAAAATGATCATTTTTTGTATTTAAAGTATTTCAAAATTTTTAATGGTTTCGCAGATACATGGAGCATTATTTCATATCAAGAACAGTTAAATAATAGGACTGCTCATTCAGCCAAAAGTGTCTGCCAGGTGCATGCGAAAACTCCTCGCTTTGTGACGTCATTGTAGTCCTTGTCATGGTTGTTAGTCCTCATCCGGCAACCAATAATACACACACGTGCATTATTGGTTGCCGGATGCAAAACATTCATTATTTAGTTTATTTTGACTTTATTTATTTAAACACCTTATATGTATGCAGTATAGAAAATTAACTGTATAAATCGTATTAAATATTCGGATAATGCATTTTTAAGAACAGCAGTTCCCAGCATGACCTTTTGCAGGCATTCTTTTTAAAGTACTTCCATATTTTGCTTTAAAATAATTAATAAACAATATCGTAGGCACTTAGTAAGCACTTTGTCACAATCCATAACACAAAATGAACGTATTTATACACTCTATAGCTCTAAAAACTTTAAAAACACCTTTTTCGCATTTAAAATTGACAAAATAATTAACTCAAAATTTCTCATCTGTTATTTTTATAAGTTTACTATAGGCAACTAATAATACACACTATCATGACAAGGACTACAACGACGTCACAACTGTCAGCTGAAGCGCGGGAAGAGGCGAACGTACGTCTTATGAGGATGAGCAATCCTATTAGTTTACCGTTCTTTATTTCATATGGCTGTTTCAACGGTAAAATACGAGAGAAAAATCATTGGATGGCTTTGATAAAAATTTACTGTGGAAAATGCCATATGAAATATAAAACCGCGAATATCTACAAAACCGTTAAAAATTTTGAAATACTCTAAATACAAAAAATGTTCATTTTTTAATTTTCCATCTATTGAGAAAATAATATACAGAGTGTTATTTTTTATTACAAAAATTATTTTATATTTTAGAAAGTTTGACGTAGAGTGTTGAACATCCTGTATGATTTATGATTACCATATTTATAGCGAACTAAGTACAGACCATCTAAATCTAAAGTAAATACCTAACATATGTATCTAGTTTTGATTTCAGGATTGTTCTTGTATTTTTATTAATTTTTGTTAAGAAAGGCTGAAAATATATTTTTTTTATATATTTATTAATATCTCTGAAACTATCGAAATATATTTACTAATATATTAGGATTATGTAAAGTGATCTGAAAGGAAGCCAAAAATGCAATAACATACAGTTGCAATAACATACAATAAATACATTTTTTGAAATACTACATCGTAGAACATACTTTAAGATTTGCAAAAAATTCCCAAATTTCTTATTCTAGAAGTTACAGATGCCCGACGCACTATTGCCGTACCTGTACACATACTGTAGCGATAAATTTTATTTTATAAAATAAAGAAAGCCAAGTGAAGCTTTTATACTACCTATATTTGCGTGTTTTTGTTAAAACCTTCTTCCTATAAATCTTAAAACAATAATACTTACTTGATCTTCTCATCTTGAGAGCCTTTGGTTAGCAAAACCAATCCGCAGATGAGGTCGCGCAAGGCTATGCCCCTAGAACCGCCCCCGCAGGCGGTGTACAGTCGTTCGACTATGGGTACCGGTACTCCTTCTCCTAGGACGTGCTGGGCGAAGGCCGCCTGTCCTAGAAGACTGCCTCCGCTGGTCAGGCGTTTGAACGCTTCGCATACTCTCTTCAGTTCCGCATCTGACACTGAAAAAAATAATAAAAACATGAGGTTTGATTGACATAGTCATAGGCGGGAAAACTTTCTATTGAAAAATGGTAGTGAATTGACTTAGTAATATACAGCCACCCTGTAGAAGTTAAAGTATTTTCCTGAAATACATCCTGTTATATACTTTCCGTTTGCACTTATCCCAAATTCCTAAGTTTTTTATTACAGGAGCTACAAATGTCCGACGCACTATTGCCGGACCCGTATAAAGTAGTAGTAGTGACGATTTTGAATCGTGGCAACCCCTATTTGCGGCCATTTTTTGATTGGCACCCTGTTAAAAATGTATTCCCCTATTCATAAATACTTATACACACATAAAAATTATATTTTGAACATTCTACCTTCTAGACTATATCAAAAATAGTGCATTATTAAATAGATATCATTTAAAAGTGAAAAAATCTGCACGATTATTATAGTTCAGGTACGAATAGGTTTAGTTTTATTTTGTTTATGTAGTTTTATCTATTCACTCCGTCATATTTGTGCGTCAACGACATGAAAACATCACAAACAAAACAATATATTTAAGCTAAGTTATCCAATCAGCTGGTTTTTAGAAAAATAACGTTGTTGTGTAAAACAGATTAATCATAGAATCAATACACACAAGATATGCTTTTGATATCATTGATTAACCTGTTTACATGTTTAATTGTTTGCGAGTATCGTATTTAGTGACACAATGTTCTCTAAAATTCTAAACAAAAAATCGCAATCAAATTCATCTATACTAATATATAAAATCCTTAAGTGACTGACATACTGATTAATCACGATCCTGCTCAAACCACTCAACATAAGAAGCTCAATTTTGACATACAGATTGATTCTAGGGTGTAGAGGTTCGATAAAAAGGATTTTTTCGAAATTCCAGTTCCAAGAGGGTGAAACCACCCCTCAAATATTAAAATATTTTTTTATATAAAAAACGGCCAAGTTTCTGAAAAAAAAACGCTTAAACACGTATATTTTATTTTGTTTTTTTTACATATTTTAAGATATTTTAAAAATGTATACAGGGTGTTTCGAAAAATCTGGTCATTGATTAATCACGATCCTGCTTAAAGCGCTTGACGTAAAAAGCTGATTTTTGGAAAACAGATTGACTTTAGGGTGTAGAGATTCGATAAGAAGGAATTTTTCGAAACTCGAATTATAAGAGGGTGAAACTATCCCTCAAATATTAAAATATTTTTTATTTAAAAACCGGTGAGTTTTTCGGAAAAACTCTTGAAAACGTATATTTTATTTTGTTGTTTTACATATTTTAAGATTTTTTATAAATTTATACAGGGTGTTTCGTAAAATACGACCATTGAGTAAACACGATTCTGCTTAAATTGATTGACGTTTAAAGCTAATTTTTGGTAAACGGATTTACTGTGGGGTGTAGAGGTTCGATAAGGAGGGGTTTCTCGAATCTCAAATTCCAAGAGGGTAAAAACGCCCCTCAAATATTACAATATTTGTTATTTAAAAAACGGTTAGTTTTTCGGGAAAACGCTTGGACAAGCATAATTTATTTGTTTTTTTTTACATATTTTGAAATTTTTTAAAAAATCATACAGGGTGTTCCAAAAAGTTGGGTAATTTCTTAACCACGATTCTGCTTAAACTGCTTATTTTTGGCAAACGGATTTTTCGAAACTCAAATTCCAACGAGATGAAACTACCCCCCAAATATTACCAAGTTATATAATAATATCACCATATTGTTTTTTCTCATGCTGAATGAATTTTATCCAGTTTGTATGTTAATGGAAATTCTTGCTTTGCTTTATCATCACCATTACAAATGATTAATTCGACGCGAACGAAGTCGCTGGTACACGCTAGTAATAATATACTATCGCAAGAATTGTGGATTACAAGTTTACAAAATGTGACAGCATTACAGCATTTTTTATATTACCCATAGACTTATTACTTTATTAACCTTATACTTATTATTCTTTCTATAATTCTTGTTTTTATAAATTTACTCTAAACAAACTGTTTTGGGTAAAGAGCCAGCAAAATTGACAGTTTTAGACTGACCGCTCAAAATCGTACTTTGTCCACTACCCACACCCTTTATTTGTTCTTAATGGCTGATATGCCCTAAAATTATATGAGGCAAATATTCAGTCGCATGAAGCTGAAGAGGATCCCGATATCCTTATTATCAAAAAAAACTTATAAGTTTGCCTCATTAATTAAATTAATTTATTAACAGTAGTGGGAAAAGATATCAATCTTTTGGTGGTTTTGATTGTTCCGGATTGAATATGTAGTAATACACGATACACGGAAAATGGTAGAAGAACCTTAGAATTTTCTCATTACAGCAAGACAAAGGAATGCATCTCAAACACTGGCTGATCCTCATTTTGAAGCCGACAAAACTGTATCTGATCATATACTGATTCTGCACGAAATAATTGATTATGAAAAAGAAAAAAAAATACAACCTGATGTGATTAGGATAAGTTACATCCAGTATTCTTGTATTTTAGTTGTAGTTATGTTCTCATTCAAATATGAAATTATTTTTATTGTATGCAATGACCTACTGATGAGAATTAGACAATTAAATTAAATTAGGTAAGTGCCAAGAACGCATCACATTTCTGTTACAAAGTGATACTACCTCGTATTCTTGATTTAAAGTTCCCACGAACCGAAGGAAGTGATACTGTAATTCAACACAGAAATTCGTTTCTACAAACGCTGTAATTGCCTTGTAAAGGTCAGGAAAGTACTCGAAAGTATACGTATTTTTTTAACGTTTCCTACGCAAGAACAAGACCAAGACCCAGCATGCAAGACTCTTGCGGTCTTGCATTTTTTCATCTCATTTTTCATAGATAATAATTAGAAAATTACTAGATTGCATCACGCATCACCAAGCTTGCATTTCATCATCTACACGTATTGATGTTAAAGAATAATTTTAGACAGTCATTTGATTTTAAATATGAAAAAAAATAATTTGTCAAATGGTGTTACTTTTGTTAGGCCTATAACACTAAAAAGATTAGGCATATAAACAATATTTAATTATTTTGGAGAGAAATTTCTGAGGTCCAATTTTATATACAGGGTGAGTCTTAAATAAGTGCAAATATTTTTAGAGGTAGTATATATTTCGAACCCAGAAACACATGATATTTTTTTCGCGAAAATTTTTTGCTTTTTTTTTAAATTTTTAGTTAAGAAACATAATATCTGTATAATGTGGCAACATAGATAGTAGACTAAATTTACAAGAAAGAAAACCCAGAAAAGAACCAGTGGTTCTCAAAATTTAAGAGAAAAATATATTTTTTTAAATTTTCAAAGTAAAATATCTCGGTTATTTTGAACTCAATTGAAAAACGGCAAAGAGAAAATATGTTTTTTTATAGAGATCTACCAGCCTTGAAAATATTTGCACTTATTTAAGACTCACCCTGTATAATGTAAATTCTGTAAGTCATATTTTCTGACACGCAGGAACAACGAGTTGCACAAAGAGCCATGGAGAGAATTACGTTAAGAGACCCCGTGGAAGAAAAAACACGAAACACCCACAACATAAGTAAAAAAAAAGTAATAGATGTTGAAAGAGTGGCATTTCTGAAGTGGCAATGGATCGGACATGTGGCACGACTGGATCCAGACCGACAATTCCAAAAAGTCATACTATGGAGATCAAGGGGAACTACAAGAAGAGTTAGCCGACCAAAAAAGAGATGGGTCAATAACATCAAAACAGTGGCAAGAAGACAATGGATGAGATTGGCTAGAGATCGTGCAGTATGGAAAATCTAGAAGACGCCTACATCCAACAATGGATGGAACCAGGATGATTATGCATTTGACATAAACATATCAGTCCAAGTCAAGAAGAACCAATTTAAACCACTTGCAAAACTTGATTTAGAGTCTAATACTTCAATTTTATAATAGAATAAAATCAAAAGGATATTTTTAGTAGGATTTTAAACTTTATTTTTTCATAAAACAATAGAAATAAACGTACATAAATTTGCAATGTATCGCTGTATCATCACCCGCAATCATATATCTTTTACTTTTCTCTTTATAATATAAACATTTTAATTTAGCCAAAAAAAGATTCATTCACAAATCGGAAACGTTTGGTTCCGACAATGTTAATATACTGATAACCAGCTCTCTTCTAGAATCCTGGAACGACTGCATCCTATCCTGAATCGTGACTACCTCGTCCATCTCGATCGACGCCAGCTCGTTCATAGACATATTGATGGCGTTCGAACTGAGGCCGGCTGGAAAGGGAGTGACGGGACCCACAGGCGACGTTCTGACACTATGCGGCGTGTAGTTCATATCCTCTCTACTCTCTCTGGACCCTCTGGCCTCATCGAAGCTCATCATGTCGCTCAAGTCGCCTAACGAGCAGCTCGAATCATACGCAGGCTCGGCCTGAGGAACCGCTCTTCTAACGGGAGCCGGTCCTCTAACTGGAGTGGAAGAAAGCGGACGTGGGCTACTTCGTCTGGGTTCCTCGTAGCTCATCATTGCGCTCAAATCTCCCATTGAGCAACTCGACTCGCATACAGGTTCAGCCTGAGGAGACGGTATTCTAGCCGGAGGAGCTCGTGGAGAAGGTCGAGGAGGGCTACTTCGTTTCGGCTCCTCGTAGCTCATCATTGCGCTCAAATCTCCTATCGAGCAACTCGACTCGCATACCGGTTCAGCCTGGGGCGCTGGTCTTCTAACTGGAGGAGCTGTGGAGAGCGGGGGAGGTGAAGGGCTGCGCCTAGAAGGACCAGGAGGACCTCGTGCGCCTCTGGATCGCTCAAAACTCATCATTCCGCTCAAATCTCCCATTGAGCAGCTCGATTCGCATACCGGCTCAGCCTGAGAAGCTGGTCTTCTAACTGGAGGAGCTGCTAGCGGTGGAGGCGAAGGACTACGCCTAGAAGGACCGGGACGAGGACTAGGAGGACCTCTTGCCCCTCTGGCTCCTGCAAAACTCATCATCTCGCTCATATCACCCAAGGAACAGCTCCTGTCCGATTCCTCAAATTGACACGGTGGTGGGCGTCTTATTGCTCCTCTGGGAGGTGGGGAGGGACTTCTGGGAGGTGGACTGGGAGCTCTCGGGGGCGGCGGAGATCCCGGAGGAGTACCTACGGTACGATAGACAGAGGGATCGGGTGCGAATAAATCCCGTCCCATTCGAATGGGAGAATAGTTGGGACTAGGAAAATCGGTTGCAGCACGGTACTGGTCAGTTATCGGTGTGGAAGAAGGGCAGTAGTCGAACTTGCCCGAAAAGCTGCGCGAACCATGGCGCGTCTCGTTAAAGAAATAAGACGGGTCGCAGCTACTCACTCTTTCTCTCACCCTCGGTTTTCTCGGTCCGTACTGGCTAAAACTCGACACGTAGTTTCCTCGTTCCTCCTGGAGGGGGCTCAACTGAGGAACTCCCAAGGCCACAACCTGGTCGTTGATATGCCGAGGAAACTTAAGCTCGGGGTTGGTAGGTGGGGGATAGTACCTGGGCGGTCGGTATAATTTCTTTTGAAGTTTTTCGATCAGGGCTAGAGAATCTTCACATCCCGAGGGACATCCCGCCATTTTTTTGGCTCGGTTTTAAAGTAAACTGCGATAAATACTGGAATTTTGATTAAAGTAACTAAGTTTTTTATATTCACATTTGAATTTGACTTTGAACTGACAAATTCATCTGAATTGACATCATCTTCACGTATATTGTCATACTCTCTCTTTCACTTGACAACCAGATGAAACAGACTGTGATGGCATTTCGTTAGTTACTGCTCAATGTTTCAGGTATTTGACATTTTGAGGTTATAATTTTATTGACGGGTATCGATCGATGTCAAAATTAAAAGGTGATAAATTTCTTTTATTACTAAAATGACTCGCCTATTTATCGAGAATGAAGAAACTCACCATCTAATTAATTATTATTTTACGCGAGAAAGAGATCCTGGTAAAACACTTTTGACTGTGTAGGCATTATATGAAGTAAATACAATACAAATGTGTATATTCTTATATAAACAAATTGATTGCGATTTTCAATATTATAGTGTGTCGATGATTTGGAAACATGCATTTCTAAAGTCCTGAGAAGTATGAATTCTCAGAGGCAAACTCCAACACGAAACAAAGGGTACAGGGTACAGAAGGTGATCTACAAAGATTCCAGCTGTGTAATGTAAAATATATGTTTTCTTAATTTTATTTTTATTTTAACTTTAATAATTGTGATTAATAAAATTGCGTTTATCTCATCAAGGAGGCCGAATTCGACAAAATATCAAGAGATAACTTTTAATTGGCATTAAACGGTCTACACAATTTTGATATCAAAAGAAAAAAATTGGCGCCGGGAGGCACGTATAGCCGCCCACACTTGATTTTTTTTTATCTCAAAAACTGCGACTTTGTCTGATTTTGATGTTATTACAAATTTTGTTGCAAATATTATTCCTAATCTTAAATTGAAAACCGCGTTTCGCTAGCTACTGTAATTTTGGAGTTACAATTTTTTAAAATTTTAACCCCCTCCCATACCCCCTTACCAACCCCCCACCCCCCACCAAAAACTAATGGCCAGATTCTCGGGTGACACAGTATTTTTGTGCCAAATTTGGTTAAAATCGGTTTAGCGGTTTTTGAGTTTTGAGGTACGTGTTACAGATGGACAGACCAGACGTGTTACAGATGGACACCATGAAAATATTTTGTATTTAGGTCATTTATGACCGAAATAACTCATTTTGAGTGAAATTAAAAAACTTTTTTTCTGGCGATCTTAATAGCCTACCATACCTGTCGGTATGGTCGGCTAAAAAGTCAGGGGCGCACTTTTTTTTTTAATATTCCAGTGATAGCTCATATGCACGTCCCTGATGAATTTATAGACACTTTTTTAGCATTAAAATATGTAGCACTTTTTATAGTCTTAAAATATATAGTAACTTTTATCCTCAAAATTTCATTCGAAATGCTAAAAGTTACTTGGAAGAAAATTATAATAAACCGTAAAAATATTAAGACTTTAACACCCTGTAGCTACTAAACAAAGCAGAATCGGACCTATGTTGATATGAAAAATAAATCTTATTTTTACGTGAGGAATGTTCCCACAAGAGATTGCACGCGTTTTTTGAAACACCCTGTACAAGTATTAATCATTATTAACAGATCATTTATTTCCATTAACGAATTGATGTTGACGGTTCCAAAATATAATCGACAAAGGTTCTCATTTCCAAGCTAATTAGGTATTAATGAAAGAAAAAAGAAAAAAGTTTAACCATTTAAATGACAATAATTAAATTTATAATTATTATACAGGGTGAGTCTTAAATAAGTGCAAATATTTTCAGGGCTGGTAGATCTCGATAAAAGAAACATATTTTCTCTTTACCATTTTTCAGATAAGTCCAAAATAACCGAGTTATTTAACTTTGAAAATTAAAAAAAATTATTTTTTTGAAAAAAATTTGAGCCACCGGATTTTTTCTGTATTTGCATCCCTTTTAGTGCCGTAACCATGGAGAAAAGTCGAATCAGGAAGAAAAGTAATATCAGAGATTAATAAGTTATACCGTGGTAAATTTTTCGGTGAACAGGCAGTTCTAAAAAGTTTCAGAAAAATATACAGGGAAATTTAAAAAAAAATGTACGATTTTCAACTCATAAACGTGTTCCTGGAGACGAAATACACCACCCCTGAAAATATTTGCACTTATTTAAGACTCACCCTGTATAATATATAAGATAATTATAAATGTATTAGTTATATTTAATTATTTAATATATAAAATTTATTATTATATAAATAATAATTTAATTGTTTAAATTTCAATTTAGAGAGCAATGGCTATATATGTTTATCACGACAATTTGAGTCGAAATACGAAATATGTGGCGTCAAACAAATTAATTGCTTTAAAAATTCTTTTTTCCAAATAAGCTACTCTTGATCCTCCGTAATAAATCCCGATTTATGTCCTATACTAACACAAAAAATCTAGTTTTTTTATCTAAAAAAATAAAAATGTTATAGGTGCGAACCACTATTAAAAAACATTGAAATATCATACTGCAATTATTTGAAAAAATCATTTTAATCATTCAACAAAAATCGTTCAAAAATTTTTATGACACACTGTATATTCATTCGTCTCTGCACGAATAATTAGCATATAAAACCCCCTTTACAAAGATTTGTAATTAATTACTCATTAGATAAAAAATGTTAAGGGTATTCTGCAAACAAGTCGATAACCTATGACTATAAAGTAAATCCCAGCTAGTGTGAAACACCATTTTCTTTAGCTAAAAGTAGCATATAAAAGAGCAAGTACAAAAACGAAATACGATCATATAGGTATAATATCAATAAGTAGTTGGTATAAAGTTCTATCAATTTTTTTTATAAGGTAAGTTAAAATATTTAAATATCTATTCTAAAATCTACATCTATACAGTGTGTCCCCGGATTGTCTTTACAGGCAAAAACATTTTTTATATCGACATATTGAGAAAAATGCATTCTTCATAAAAATGTTTGCTTGCTCTAAAATGGTTAATCCCGTTTATACTTTTCCAAATTTCCCATACCGTTTTAGAGAAAACTTAAAAAAGTCATAAAAATAGTCCTAAAAATATAATTTGAATTTCATTCTTTGATAGATGGTTATTATTAATTTTCATTAGCGTCATATTTTCTGCTATTGTTAAAGTATCACATTTGCCTACTATTTTCTAACTATAAAGGAACCCTAAAAAACGAACTTATATTACAATATTACCACAGACACGCATTTTGATTTTTAGAAAAAAATCAATTATATTTTTATTTTTTTTTTAATTTTCTCTGAAACGGAAATTTAGAAAAATATAAACGGGAAAAAAAATAAAAATTTTTAGAACAAGCAATTTTTTTATGAAGAATGCATTTATTTAAAATGTCAATAATACAAAAGTTTTTCCTCTTGCAAAGACAAATCCGGAGACATACTGTATAATAATCTTAGGAAACGGTAAAAATTTGTACAAAATTTGTAATTCGTATAATATTGCTATTTTGCAGATATGGCTAAACTGTCTATCATTCTGATGTTGGCCACTGTCGCCGTAGCTGTTTCGGCCAGTAATAATCAATTTCCGAAACCCATCACTAGTAAACCCCCCTTCAACCCTAGACCAGTTACATTTCGCCCCCTAAGGCTCAAAAGATCAGCATCCCCTAATCCAGAAGATAGACCTGAATGGGAGGTAAATACATTACACAGATTAATTAATACCACAATTAACTGCAAGCGACACCAATTAAATTTTAGTTACGTTATCGAGGGCGCGATTTGTAAATTCATTGTAGCCAACCATGGACATATTCGCCGCCGGGCTGACTGACTGGAATTTAAATTTCCCGCTGGGAATTCAGGTGGTAGCTCTGCTGTAAAAATGTCAAGTTGCCACATTTATTTATTTATTTCCTGACATTGCCATTCGTTTTGACACTTTAGTTTTGAATTACGAATTTTTTGTTTAAATGAATTGTTGTGATACTTTGCTTAAAAATTTTACTAGCAGACCTTGCAGTCAGTATCAAAAACAAAGTACTATGTCACGTTATCTTTTCTAGGTAAAACCTGATATAATAAGGGACGAAAATGGAAACACCAGAGCTCAAGTGGAAGTTAACCAGCATGGAAGGAATCACGATGTGAACGCAGGCTGGGGGAAGAATATTAGAGGACCCAGCAGCCATAGAGACACTTGGCATGTAGGTGGCGCCATCCGCTGGTAGAGATTTGAAAATAAATTATTGAAATAGAGATACTATATTTATACAAATTTGTATACCAAATAAAATATGTTTCTTTTTTATTTTTAATCTTTCTTTTTTTAAACACGTCCAATATGTGAAATATAAAATCATAGATAAAGGAAATAAATTTAGATTGGAAAATTTTTTGGGTCGCGAAATTGTTTTGGGTCGCGACCGTTGTACGCGATCTGGCGCTGCTATAGCGGTTGCTAAGAACAACCGCAAACAAAAACAGAAATAATTTTCTCTTGTCAAAGTCAAAGTCAGAATCTTCAAAAATTACAAATTCTAAACCGCTCTCATTGAAAAAATTCCGAAAAGTGTTTAAAGCGTCCATTTTCAAAGTAATTATTGTTACCTTGTAAGTTTAATTTAAGTTTTATTTACTCAAACCCGTGATAATTATGAAAAAGTGGCATTAAAAACTTAAAAAACTGTGCTGTGAACTGTGAACTGCAAAAATCATCGTGGATTGTGGCATAACGTCGGTTTCCAATGTATTGTAGTGTAACAACCCAAATTCGTCAACAAAGTTGAAGAGGTAATATTTCGGCCAACTGTATAACAAACAATTTGAATGAAAGAAAGGAACCTACATTGTGTTAAATATTTTTTTATTGTGATTACCTCGGATGCGCCTCGACAGAAGCAATATTTTGGGAAATTTGAGGAGAATAGGTTATGTAAATAAAACGCTAAATTTGCAAATAGCCCTACTTATTTTATTAAATGAAATGAAAGGAGTGCCGTACTCTGCCTGGAATTCACATGTAAAAGAGCACGGCAGAGAAAACCATGATCACTATTCCAGAGAATCTAACTTTAATAAAAGAGAAATAATAATATAGAAACTGTCCTCATACCTAGGTTTATAGTTTAATACACTCAAAACATACCACATTTATATCGTTCAAAACTGAAGGGTTTTTTGTTAGTTTAACGGGTCCCCACCCGTAGGTACGAAGTCCCTTGTTGCGGAATCGACGCTAAAGTTGAAGGTTTGGTGCCAATATCTTAGAATTTAATAAATTGTAAGTTATTCTATGAGGTATTCTATTTATTATTTTTGTTTGCCCTTTTGCGAGCTAAGATATTCGCCCATGCACGGTCGAAAATTGTTAGTACACTCAACAAGGCCCTTATTCTCACAAACCACAAACATCGGCACGAAGGAACAGTGAACGGTCTTATTTAAATTACTTTTAAACTGAAATTATTTACAGCATAAATAGATTCCATTAAATGCATACACATGTTATATATTGTCTTTGTCAGATCAAATGAATAAGGAAAAGCTTTAGAAGAGAATTACAACAAGAAAACAAAATATGATTTAGTTAACATTAGTTAAATAATGAGAAAACATTTACTTTACCTTTAATAACATTCTTTGTCACAAAACTTACGAACCAAAATAATATCAATGCGTCTCGAATGGTAGTCTAAAAGCTATTATCTAACAACTATCACCACTGTTCGTCGCCTGATTTCCCTCTCCCTAGTTTGTGAATAATATTTTAAAAATCAATAATTTTGTGTCTCAACAGAGTGTCTTAAAAATGAATGTTTTGAATTTAAATAAATATGTCTATTTTTAAATAGGCGGTTCATCTCAGTATCATAAGTATTTCATACATGCCCTTATAAAATAAAGTTTCTTGTACGCAACACACTGTATTTTATTTATAAAATTAAAAGAAAATAATAATAAATTTGAATAAACAATATTTGCCGATATAATTCCGGAAAAAGCCGAACCGATCCGAAATTTTCAAAAGCTTTGGGTCGCGACCGTTTCAAGAATAGCGCCAAATAGTGTTTACATTGTCCTTATGGGCACTTTCCAATCTAAGCTTGTTTCATTTATTTATGTATAAAATCCAGGTCCGTATTTAAAAAAAACAGATTGATATTACTAACGTCAAATTGAAAATTTAATAGCATCAATTTGTAGAGCAAGAAAAGCAGCAATGGAACGTGGAATTTGAATTCTAATATCTTTTCAAATAGAAATAGACAAAAAAAGCAAAACGGAAAAATTAAGTTTGTCCTAAATATCTTCGGTATTTTAGAAAAGCTGTAAAATTAATTGTAAAAAAAAATATTCTATTTTTTTTAAAATAAAGTTAAGGCTGCGCCGTACAAATTATTAATAATTTTATCAAATTATTCGCAACGCTATTTATAAACTAAGTTTTATCAATTAAAATTCGCTGTAAAGATAAGGATAAAGCGAGCATTATTATAAAACAATTAAATCAAATATTTCTTATCGGTCGTTCGAGATTTAATCTACACGTATTAAATAAAACACTTATTTATGAGTCTTGCTATAGATGAACTCAATAGTCAACTATTCTACAACAGCCGCTACACTATCCCCGAAATGATTTTTGGAAATATTTCGTGAAATATTTCGCAAAACATTTTTGGAAATAGTACCATAAATATAAGTTTACCACGTTTCCTGAAATAGATCGAGACCCGCTGTGATTGGTTGTTTGTGTTTTATTGTTAACCCAGATTAACAATCAAAAACAAACAACCAATCACGGCGCGTCTCGATCAATTCCAGGGAACGTGGGAAATAATTTTTACTATACGGGCTTATATTTATCGTACTATACGGTATACGGTACTATTTTGTGAAATAGCACGAGGCAATCAAGGTCAAACGTTGTGGTGGCTTCAGAAAAATAAGTAAACATGGAAAAACTGATATGAAAACAGTTACCGATGGTAAATTATTGGCTATTCTTCGAAGGTTATACAAGAATATTTAGTTTTAATTATTGTCTAATATTATGAACTACAATATAGTATAGTAAATATATATAAAACAGTGACTAACTAGCGGTCTACTATTTATCGGCTTATATCCACGGTATTGCGCCTCATGAACAAAATATATACAAAATTATTTAAGAAATTGTCTAGTTATTTATTATTTCTGGTTATGGTAAAGTAACATTTATACTGTAGTCTGTTATGTAGCAAAGCTTAGTTTACGAATTTGGTTTTGTTTTTCTAGTTTTAATTGTCTAAATCCCTGCATACTAAATACTAGTTGAATGGATTTATATCAAACCATGCTGGGTGCTAATAAAAATATCGTTTACAGATTTCTCTTAAGAACAATAAAAGAACATTGCTTTTAAATAATGTCCATGGACCATACTTTTGGTGATATCGGGTCAATTAATAACTTTCCTAAGCGGATATATTGATAATGTTACCAGTATTACTCATCAAGCAATACTACTGTTATATTAATCAATTAAGGCCGCAAACAAACATATCATATACAATTTTATATACTAATTCATTATAATAAAATTAAATCATAAAAATACTGTAATTATATTCCTGCAGTTTAAGTGAAAAGTTTTGTTCCTAAATATCTACCATACATACTAAGGGCTGGCAAAGGTTAGTCTTGGGTCGAGATTTCCGTATGTAAGAAGAGTACAATACGTTTATAATGTACTGAACAAAGAGAGGGCAGTAAACACGTTGCCAAACGTATGAAATAAACCGAGAAACTGTGCACATCGCTAAGAGACGTGGAAGGGGATATAGCAGATTTGTCAAGAAGTGTCTAGCCCTAGCAGTCAACTTTTAAGCTTGACCAATCAGGTTGGTTAGCGTGGTTATTTGAAGTGTGTTAATTCATTTGTGTTTGTCAAAAACTCTAACGTGATTGGTCGGGCTTAATAGTTGCCTGCTAGGGCTAGACACAAGTGATTTGTCGCAGTTGACCGGTCGACCCAATCAATACCTCTATCAGTACTTAAAGTTCTAGGGAAAGGTGTACGTCATGCGTTCAGCTTCTATGATTTAATTACGTGTCGTGATACTTAATTTGTTTATTTATTAACGAGTCGTTGTAATTATCCCTATAGCTTGAATTTTTTTGCAAGTGCAAGCTAGAAACACTTGCATTTTTGGTAAAAATAAGTGGAATTAAGTGAGTGTTCGATAGTGGTCGCGCTATTAGAACTCTATAAAAATCGATATCTCGAAATCTATTAGAAATAATAGGTTGTAGTTTTTTCAAGAACTTTGTTAATATTTCTGCTGTATTTTCTTTGTAGACAGTATGTGAAAATCTTTATCAATAAAAAAATTACACGATTGCTGAAAATTGCTATGCTCTAAAAGTAAATGGATGGATTGTTTACAATTCTTGAATGGAAAAAACAACGTTATCGAATTTTTCTTATGTAAACATATTGTAAAATATCCGATCTTGAAAATAAAAAGAAGTTTCAATATCTAAAGTGGTTCTTGAGTTATGGCCTGTTATGTGTTAAAAAGTTGAATTTTTAAATTATCGCGACTACTGACGTTTTCTCGTTATAAAAAAAATGACACCGTAACGATATCCTTATAATTCTATTTCAGATGCTCAGAAACATGTTTAACGATTTTATCTAGTTATCTCTTAAAAAAAAGTCTTTTAAAAAAAGCGGTTTGCGATCGTGATTTTACTTTACTTGGTAGGGAAAGGCGTACCGGCAACACCGCAACAGCACACCGTCGCATTTCTCTCACTCCGACCTACGACTTAATAAGATCCCTATGCGATTTATTTCCACACATGTAAATGCCGACCCAAAAGTAACAGTTGCCAGCACGGTATAATAAACGCGTGTTCAAATATTAATTCTGTGGAATATATATATATATATATATATATCAATATAACATAAAACGAGATGTAATTAACGAAATATCATCGTAACAACAGCTATTTTAGAAACGTCTAGGTTTACTTATTTCACTGAGATTTATGAAAAAAAAAATCCTTTGCCTTGGATACAGATACTGCCACGTTTTGGAAATAGCTCAAAACAAAACAAAATTGAACGAGGCAACAAAAAACGCCAAAAAAAATCCCCCTCGCCCACCACACGAGTAGTTTTCAGGTGTTTTAAGAATCGAGAAAAGTAGGTCGACGCAATCGCGATCACGACAAAAAAATTTGTCGCGATCGGACGACTTCAACTTTTGACGTTTCTTACGTGAAAACTAACTGTCACAGTAACAACGTGTCGTACAAGTTCAAGTTGGCCTTGGTCCAATCTATCGACATACCAAATTTTACTTAAATCTGACGATTTTTTTAAGCCGTAGGCTGTCCTTTTCCTTCCTGTCGTGTCGCGTGTCGTGTTACGGCCTTTAATTTTTACTCCCAGCGCGCGTAAAGAAGCTCCACTTCAAAAAGGTTGCTTCTATTTTTTACATGAAGCAAGAACGATATAATGTTGAATAATACTTAAGTCAATGAAGAAGACGCATAATTATGTAAAAATCCTTCATTCCATCAATTTTTCAGAAAAATCCTATCACTCGTTCCCTAGAAACTTCTAACCCAAACTTGAAGTAAATTACCCAGTGATCTACTTAATAATCGGTTATTCATGTAATGCACCGTATACGTTTAAGTATAATAAAACAAGATTCGCAATATCTTTGACCCTAAAAGCCGTCAAAACAAATGATACACTCATACACTGGTAGACAAACAAAAGTGCTGAAAACGTGAATCCCAAGAGAAGTGAAAAACCGCCAGAAACAGATTAAACTGGTATAAATATGTTGATTTTAAAATGGTTAGCCATAGTGCAATAAGGTTCGTAAGTTTGCAATAACGGTGCATATTACCACATATCTGAAGGTAAGTTTATATTAATTTTTATTATATTTTTTAGAATTTATGTTTTAAGTCCTAAAAATCAAAACGCGTTTCTATGGTAATATCATTTCTTTTTCATTCTTTGATAGATTATTATTAATAGAATATTAATTAACGTCATATTTTTTGCTGTTTTAAAATATTAAAGAAGCAAACATTTATTTAGTTTAATGCTACAAAAAGGGTGGTAAATATTATTACCGAAAAATGTGATACTTTAACAACAGCAAAAAAATATGACGTTAATTAAAATTAATAATAGCCATCTATCAAACAGTGAAATCGAAATTATATTACCATAGAAACGCCTTTGATTCTTAGGACTTCAAAAATTCAATCATATTTTAACTTGTCCTTATTTTTCTCTAAAACGAAATGGAATTTTGGAAAAGAGAATAAACGGAATTAGCCATTTTAGACCAAGCATTAACATACCTGGGCCCATATTCTGTAACTTTTGAAAACGCTAAGCGCTTTTAGACGCTCAGCGTATATAGGCCCACACAGACGTCGTTTTTTTTCGGCAGGATTACTCGACGTGCAAAACTGTTCGGGTAATCCGGTCGGTATGTGGCTAAAAACCGTCGTGATTGCCGGCGTTGCAAATAATCTGTTTTGACCTGATTTTTCTCGTCGGTTTGGAACGTGATCGTGCAAGTCGGCCCGTGTGTGGTATGCGTACCGGTAATCACGATATATATTTCTAAAAATTGGCAGTGTTGTACGTGATTTATGTATATTATAAAATGGCTGATTTGAGGCAATGCAGTAAACAATTTTTAAGTGAATTTATATAAATGTACAGAAATTTTCCATGTCTTTGGAAAATTAAATCTAGTGAATACGCAGACAGAGATAAGAAGAATAAGGCTTATGAAGTTATGTTAACCAAACTAAAAGAAACTGATTCAGCTGCAACAATAGACATGTATATATACAGAAAATTTCAAATCTTCATAACTTCTCCCGGTAGCGATAAATCTTAAAGTAGCTGTAAGGCCTTCATGGGGGGTTATACTTTGTCTCATGAGAGAGATTTCTTGATTAAAGGCGTTACTTAAACTTACTCTTGATTAAAGTTACTTAAACTTACTCTTGATTAAAGGCGTCCTCTTTCTTGATTAAAGGCGTTACTAATCTAAGCAGTTCTAGATAAGTTTCCTCATCCATTCTCAGGTAATTAAACCAATCACCTGGTTCTAATCGCAATCCCTCCAACAAATTAATGTGAGAGAACCGTTTTCTTTTTAGAAGCCACTTTTTTGCCCATTTAGAGCGTTTTCTCTTAGCATATTTAGCTTTTATAGGTAAAACCGTTGCTAACGCCACTGTTGTATCCATAATCACGACAATACTGAAGAAAGCCTGAATAAAATACTGAACAGTATGTGGGCGCCATCAAGTTCGTGATTACCCGAACGTCGAGTAATCCTGCCGAAAAAGAACGACGTCTATGGGGGCCTTATGACGTTAATTTTCGCTGAGCGCGCACTTAATTAACGATTTCGGTATTCTCGTCTGACGCGCTTAACGTCTTTACTGATTGCGCTGAGCGCTTTGAAAACGGTTGCCTTAAAGGATCGTTTTGCTTGTCCAACTGACAGTGAAAATCGAAAAAATTGTGATTTTTTGCGTTATCTTGCTCTTTAGTGAAAATTACTACTTCTATAAATTCCTCAATAAGTAATTGATAATTTACTCAACAATAGGTTATGAAATTCACGTAACATTGACATTTTTCATTGTTTTCAACTTTGAGTTGTCAGTTATCAACTTTTGACTATTACCTACATTAAAAATTGTGATGTTGCCAATATGTGCTCAACGCGTATCCAGAACACGATTCGCATGGCAACGAGAATACCAAAATCGACTGCCTTGCGTTTCGCTGATCGAATACTTGCGTCCACCGCTTTGAAAGCGTAACGTTTTTATGTCAAAGTTACAAAATACGGGCTCTGAATATTTCTTTTACATTAAATACTTGAATAGAAATGTAAACAAAAATAGAGAAAACAAATGACAATAACTGTCAAATCGATTAGTCTTAATCTCATTCTAGATATGTATATGAAAATTAACTGTATATGTATACTTCACTGTTAAGTGGAAAGGTACTCTATACAAAGGATACGAAAAATATCTAGTTCTGGTAAAAATATTTTCATTCTACGTATTCTATATTATTTTATTATTACAGATGACTCGTACGATGCTATTCCTTGCTTGCGTAGCAGCTTTGTATGTCTGTGTATCTGCCACAGCTGGAAAACCTGAGGAATTTGCAAAATTATCTGATGGGGTACCATCGAACGATCAGGCAATGTATGAATCCATACAGAGGTACAGAAGATTCGTAGAAGGAAACAGGCACAACGGGGGTCAACAACAACAACAACCAAAACAATGGGAGGTAAGTGCTTAAAACTATACGCACCTTAAGCAATCTTAGCAATCTGGAAATGCATTCAAAACATGTACAGTTCATACCAAATAAACTTTTAGTCACGTGATTAAGCTTGACCGGTACAGCGTTGCCCACTTTTAAATATTTTTTTTAATCATTAGGTATCAAAAATAATTTAATATACATTCTGTTCAATCAACAAAACTCATCTTCTTAACAGCACTAAAAAAAAAGGGCCATTACTACCGCTTTCCCGTTCAAAATATTCTCAGTTTCTCTTCAGTTGCGATGAGTTTTTTACGGCTATTAAACTATGTTGAACACTTCGCACTAAAAGAGGTTCTAAAAAGAACAATGTTCGACTGCAAGGTCTGCCAGTAAACATTTTTAAGCTTAAAGTATCACAACATTATTTATTTAAACCAAAAACTCGTAATACGAAACTAAAGTGTCAAAACGAATGACAATGTCAGGAAATAAATAAATAAATGCGACATTTTTTACAGCAGAGCTACCACCTGAATCCCCAGCGCGAAATTTAAATTCCAGTTAGTCAGCACGGCGCCGAATATGTCCATGGTTGGCAACAATGAATTTAAAAATCGCGCCCTCGATTACGTAACTAAAAGTTTAATTGATATGAAATATAGGTGATACTACAAATATACAGCATGGGATAGACCCTAAAAAGGTCATATTTCAAAATCTAAAAAAAATCCGCTATGCAGATGATTAAAACTGGAGTTTTAATCATCTGCATAAAAACATTACAACTGTATTAAAACTGGAGTTTTAATCATCTACTGATGATGTTAACATGGATAGCGAAACGCGCGTCCAGTGTAAAAGTAGTGTTTTATTACCAAAGGTTCCAACCCCAACTGTAATTTTCTCTCTTTATTTGGAAAAAATATTGATTTTATCATTTTTGATAACTCTTAACAAAAGTCTTTTTTTTACTAGGTAAGACCAGACCTGTCCAGGGACCAGAGGGGAAATACCAAAGCACAGGTTGAAATTAACAAACAGGGTGAAAACCACGACATCAATGCAGGCTGGGGCAAGAACATCAAAGGCCCGGATAGTCACAAAGACACTTGGCATGTTGGAGGAAGTGTCAGATGGTAGAGATAACAGATGACTAACGAAGACTACTAAAGATAAGCATCTTTATCATTTTATACGTATTTTAATATTATGTTATTAAGTTAATTTAATTTATTAAACTTAAATAAAAATTTTATATATTAAACGATTTTATTATTAACTAATAGCTGATGTACTGATTTAATTTCCCCATGTGTTACAATAATTAATAAATGTCGCGAGTTGGCAATTATAGCAGTCGTTACCTATCCCCCACTACGGACCTCCACTTACAATGGACCCTCACGACACATCTCACTGATCTTGAATATGACGATGATATCTGTCTATTTGCACAATCATACTGCAAAACATGATTAAAAAACTACAAAATGCAGCCAATCAGTGCGGACTTACAATAAAAGAGGGAAAATCAAGTCGATCAGATTGAACTCGAACATAAACATACCGTTCAACATTTCGGGACAATTGCTTAAGGACTTTACATATCTGGGCAGCATAATAAATAAGGAGCCAGCGAAGATATACAAAACATCAAAAAAGCTCAACAAGCATTCGGTCAACTCAGAATAGTATGGGCCTCGAGGCGCATCAATACTGACACTAAGCTGAGAATATTCAACGGTAATGTAAAATCGGTTCTCTTGTATGGATGTGAAACATGAAAAGTGACCAAAACTCTAAACACATGAAAAGTGACAAAAACTCCGAACACGATCCGAAACGAAGATTGCATTTAACGGGCCAAACTGAGATAGACAAAGAAGTGATCATACGAAAGTAGGGATGGATAGGGTATACTCTGCCCTTGAATGGAAACCACAAAGACAACGGAAAAGAGGACGCCCAAAATAAACATGGCGCAGAACCGTAATGGAAGAGTTAGCAAAGACAAGAACATCATGGCCAGAAGCTAAGAAAATTGCTGAAAACAGAACAAGATGGAAGGTTTTCACTGAAGCCCTATGCCCTATTTTTGTAACTAAAGGAAACAATGATGATGACCTATCCTCCACTATCGGAAACAAGAAATAGTCATCTAATCCGATAGTCAAGCAACATTAAAAGCGATCAACTCAGTAACCATCAATTCAAAGTTAATCAAAGAATGCTTAGAGAAGCTGAACAAATTAAGCAAAGAAAATAAAGTCCTCCTACTCTCGGTGTCAGCCCACCAAGGGATAGAAGGTAATGGAACAGCAAACGATCTAGCTAGAAAAGGAGCGAATACTCCACTAACTGGACTAGAACTGTTCTGCTTTCCAAGTGGAAATCAACTTAAAGCAGAGCTCAAAAACCGGGAAGCGGAATCTCTAACCTGGAATGGGTGTCCTCCAACGGTCTAAGACACTCGAAAAAGTTCCTCAGAACTTACGACCGAAAAAAATAAAAGATTTTCCTTGATTTAAGTAAAAACAATCTTCGGATTGTCACGGGATTGTCAACAGGACACTGTCTCCTCAACGAACACCTCAGTAGGCTGCAGCTGAGAAACAACGGTGAATGCAGATTCTGTCGGGAAAATGGGGAAACACCAGAACACCTCATCACTGTGTGCGCCGAGACGACGACCGTTCGTGCCATGAACTTTGGTACGGCTGATGTCGAAGATGGAGAGCTGGCCTCTGTAGAGCCGTCTCAGGTACTGGCTTTTGTTAAAGCCCTGAGACTGTATGATGAGTTATAGCTCGTTATAACTCAAGAAAGGGGAACACAATAGATGTGTAAGATCGCGGTGATTAACTCCCCTCCTAAACATTATACATTCTACAAAGACTTTAATAAGAAAAAAGAAAAAAAAACTTTATTGTGTTGGTAAAATGTTAAAGGTATCTTCACATATTACATCACCTTGAACAGGTAAGACTGACATGTAAAACGTTACGTGTAAAAAGGGCTTAATATATAGGAACTATCTTAATGTTCAAGTGAGTGGAACAGAAGCAAAAAAAACGGCAGTTGAACTACTACAAATATATTTGCGCTGTTAGTGAACAATAACGCTGTTTTGTGCCTTATCAAACTACGGATTGTGGAGATAATTATACAGTAAAATCAAGTTTTATCAGCGACTGTAAATACGTTAAAACAAACTGAACGACATATAGGTATGTAATAATCATCGTTTTATGTTACACAAGTATACTTCCCGGCAGGTATAAAATATTAATTTAATTTTAAGAATTTTTTAAGTAAGTAACGCAAATCGCAGCCTTCAGACTCAAAATTCAAACAGCTGTCAATTTTAAACCCAGCGCAACCATACTCTGGGTGCCAGCCCACCAAGGGATTAGAAGGTAATAAAAAATCAAACGATCTAGCTAGAAAACGAGCGAACACTCCGCTGGACCACCGTAAGAACTTGGAAGATTCCATCCATAATCTGGAATGCAAATCCTCCAAACGGTCTAAGACATTCGATGAAATTTCTGAAGAAGGATTTTGAACGAGGTACCCCTGTCCGTCATACCAGGCACCCTCTACTGACTGGTCATGTCTCGCGGCTAGAGGGTGTGGCGGGGTGGGTGGCTTAACCGCCTGGACCAAGAGGAGACAACGGCACCAAAAACGTAAATCCTACGATGGCGGGACCAGGTCAAAGGGATGCGTGGCTAGATAATGGACTAGCCATTACTGGCCTCAATCTTGGGGCATCAGGGGGCACCCCATTGTATTTACCCCTTACTTCTACATGCGGGGCTCTGTAGAAGTGAACCGACTATCCCTCGCGACTCTTGGGAACACTATGAGATTTAGCATTAAAAACACCACCGGTGAAGCTGTGGGGAAGCCCCCTAGCGACACTGGGAACATTACAAATGAAAGTTCCAAGGGACCAAATCCAAAGGAAACTACAAGAGGGGCGGCTGACACTTGCTTGGGATCATCTTCCACAAGTGGTACACAAGCTACCACCTTCTCCAGCAAGGGTTGGGAGCCTACCTTTAGACCCAATAAGCGACACAAGCTACCGTTTCGTCTACCCGGCCTGGGTCAACCAGGCGGGCTAGACGATCCTCTGAGAGTAGGTCTTAGCGGAGTAGAAGCACGGAGATACCTCCGACTGCTCCACGAAGGACTTGCTCCAGAGGAAGCAAAAGCGAAAACACTCCGCCGAAAAGGGGAGAGTAAAGAAACCAAGAACCAACCTGACTCGTCTCAATCAAAGGGCAAGAGAGGGAGCGAGAACCTCTCACCTCTTCTCCGGCAGGGAGAGAAAAAAGCCAGGATGGAAAGCCAACACCGGGAGGCAAGCAAGGACGTATCACCAGCTTTGCCGCTATTGCTGAAGAAGTGAAAATAGCGGCGCTGCCAAAGGACTTCCCAGAGGTTGCTCTGACCACCGACCAGCAAACGTCTCTAGAAGAGGCTATACTGGACGAAGTAGTGGCGATCGGATCGCGACACAACGATCTACAAAATGTGGGTCAGCTGCGTTTTGCAGGGATACACTTTCGGGTGGGCATGATCCTCATAAATTGTGTATCTCAAGAATCGGCGAATTGGTTGGTGGAAATCGCACCTAAGCTTAAAAATTGGCAGGGGTTGGAACTGGTTGCAGTGAAGGGAGAAAACATCCCTAAAGGGGCGGCCATCACGATCTTTCTGCCGAGGAGCAAGGGGAAAGACACCACCTACCTGCTGAGCCTTATCCAGGGTCAGAACTTCAATGTAAGCACATCGAGTTGGCGAGTCATCAACTCGAGGGAGGAGGGTCACGGTCAGGTCCTCATGATAGGAACTGACCTCAAATCCAAGGAGGCAATAGAGAAAGAGGGACATATCCTCTATTATAAATACCGGACAACACCGGTATTCAGGTCTAAGGAGAGACCAAGTTAAAGAGGGGAGAAAATGGAGACAGAACTTCAATGTCAGTCTCCACCTCAGGGGTTCCTCAGCCGGAGGCAAGCTCCTCGACTGTGAAGGGCGGCACGGAGGGCCAAACTCCAACCGTGGAAGGGTGTGTACCCTCGGAGGAAGAACTGTTGTCAGAGCAGGATGGGAAATACCCTGTCCCCTCTACAACAGGGGTATGATGGGTTATAGACTGTGTGATGACTCAAGGAAGGGGGGCACAATAGATCTTTAAGGTCGCAGTGATTAACTCCCCTCTTACGCATTCTGCATTCTACATGGGAGATGGAGAACTAACCTCTGTAAAACTGTCAAGATACTGGCTTTTGTCAAAGCCCTGAGACTCTGTCAAGAAAGGGGGACACAATAAATCTATAAGATCGCGGTGATTAACTATCCCCCTCCCATAAAATCTACAATCTAAACTATTCTATAAGGCGTTTTCAAACTAGCGCCAAAATAACATTTTGTTTTCCCTCGTATAATAGACAGATGGGGAATTTTTAATATAAAAAGGGCTAAAAAGTAAACTAATTTAGCTACAAATTGCTTTAAAAATCGTCAAAATCCCCCACCGGAAAAAATACATCAAAATTTTAAGGTTGTAGTTGTCCATTTTTCCTGTTCGTATATTTTCAATTTGTTCACATCAAAGTTAACTTAATTGTTAGATAAATCCAATAAATGTTTATAGTTCTATACTAAGGCAATAAAACAACTCGCTGACATTCGCAAGTGCCAATAAACTTTTTATATGCCAATGCTTATTTTCCGATCGTGATCAGATAATAAACTTTAAATTTAATGATCCATAATTAACTCCGACAATACCAAGCTAGAATCGCCGAATATTAACTTAATAAACTGTGCTAGAATTTTCTAAAAATTATGTCACAAAAATAAATTATTCAATTATTTAGAATTGCGAAAATAATAGCTACTAGGTATGGTATAAAATAAAAATTTTATGTTTGGGGATGAGTATACCGGATGTTTTTCAAAAGTGGCTGTGTTAAAAACACTAATTTTAAATCAAGGAGCCTTAGAAAAATAGATTTGATCTTTTGATGTTTTTCGTGTCTAGGGGATGAGTATACCGGATGTTTTTCAAAAGTGGCTGTGTTAAAAACACTAATTTTAAATCAAGGAGCCTTAGAAAAATAGATTTGATCTTTTGATGTTTTTCATGTCTAGTCCTAGCCAATCTTATTTTTAATCATAACTCAATTATTTCAAATGGAACGAAGGTGGCTTATTAGCATATTTAGAAAAAACTTTTTTTACAAATAATTTGGTACCACACACTTGATACTTTAACTATGGCACTGATTCTAAATTGAAATTTAAAATGCTATTTTTTAATTAATATTAATTAACTTTGACATTTTTAATTAATAAATGTCAAAAGTTGACATATGATATGTAATTCTATTCAGAATGTCATTTTCTATCAAATGAAGTAAAAAAATACCAAGAGTGTCATTTAAAAATCAAAAGTTGTAGTAATTTCCGGTGAAACAGGAGGTCGCTGCCATTGTATATGTAAAACAAAGATGTAAAATTATATGGGAATGTCATCGATGTTCATTTCCAAGCCAACTGGATGCCGGTTTTTTTCGATCATACGATAGTTTTAACAACAAGGTAATTAAAGAGCCAAATACCTAATCGTTTAATTAATTTATTAGGTATGTACCTAGGTACCTATAAATTATTATAAATACAAATAGGTACCTACAGAAATATTTTTAAGTTCAACAACCTGTGAATAAAAGTATTTTTAGTAGGTAGGTAATCCTATAACAAGGATTCAAAATAGCCTCATGAAAAGTATATGTATACCTACAAAATATCTTTATTAAGTAGCTATATTTTAAAGATAATCATCATACATATTTAAATTTATTAGATATGTTGTTAAATAAAACAATACTGGTATGGAAATGATAAGTGTTTAACCAACCAATTACTTATTAAATAAATATATCATAAAACAAATCATTAATATTTACCTACAATAACTTAAAAGACCCATATAGGTATTAAAAATAGCTGGGAAAATAATAAAATCAAAAATGCAATCTAATCGAAATAATACCAAATACAATCATTTACGTTCCTATTGATACATTCAATAATAAATAATAATATTGCTTATTATGCAATGGCAAAATAACTGGTTATAAAGAACAATTAAACATATTGCTAAGCTACTTTCTGCGTAAGGATTTTTTTTATTCCTGTCAGTAAAATTATGTTCGCTTTAACAATGGAAACGACCACTTAAGTAATAACATTAGCGATACAGTGTTATCAATTAATGTAATGATGGGGTACCCCTAATAGAAATTTAAAATCCACTCAATCTTTTCTCTGTCAAATGCCACTAATCTGAAAAATGTGAAACTAGGAAATAAACTCAGATACCTACATTCATTCTTCTCCGTTGCCTTAGGTTATTTAAATTTCATTAGAGAAGAAATTAACATAATCGTATTTATGTTCCAGCATACCAATCATGTGATAGGAACGAAAATGTAACCCATAGAAATTAGAAAAAAAACATACATAAAAGCGTACTTACTGCGTTTGATTGCATCCTCGTAGCTAAGACAAATCCTTTTTGAATCTTTCGCACCCATTTTTATATTTTCACGCAGTCTTTGGCCATTTTTATAAACAAATAACGATTACACACATTACTCAACCACTATTATGACAGCCATAAATAAACACCGATATGAAGTTAGAAGTTTATAAAATACACTTGTCTTTGCCTACATAAAAATCTACAAAACTTTCAACTCTTTTAACGACTTACAGCGAAACTGTTTTTCATTGTTATCACTCTGATAATAATTATTGGACTGTATATTAAATGTTTTTCACTAAATCCAATTTAATCACGTAGTGCAGGATGTTCTTATCTTCGTTTACCTTTGCAAGGTCGCAGTTCGTAAGTGGATAAAAAATGAAATATTTCCGTCAGAGGTCAGCACCGAACCGTTGATGATTGACGTAAATGCTAAACGCCAAAATTCTTGTCACTGTCACGTCATAATTGTCATTTGTCATAACAACTGTGACTGTGTCAAAACGTGAAGTCAAAATAAAATAAAGGGGGTGTAAAATTTTCGAGCTTTTTGAAGGTCTGTAAATTGGAATAATTAATTTTTATTAAGAAAATCAGCGTTTAAATTTATTTTCTAAGATTTGTTTGAACTCCTCATTAATAGACTTCTAATTTATCTATAATTTTCTGTTACAGTTAAAGTATTGATTTTCCAAATAAACTCAACATGACCGATTCAAAATATTTTACCACTACTAAAAAGGGAGAAATTTTCGAGTTAAAATCCGAGCTAAATAATGATAAGAAGGAGAAAAAGAAGGAGGCTGTAAAAAAGGTAATAATAATAATAAATTGATTTAGTAAAAATGGTATACCTACATGAACAAGTTGTTTTATACCAATGTTAACAATTTTAGGTAATAGCATCGATGACTGTTGGTAAAGATGTTTCAGCTTTATTCCCCGATGTTGTAAATTGTATGCAAACCGACAATTTGGAGCTTAAAAAACTGGTTTACTTATATTTAATGAATTATGCTAAATCTCAACCTGATATGGCTATTATGGCAGTGAATACATTTGTTAAGGTTTGTTATTGAGTAAATAAGTAAAATTTATCTTTTAACGTTAACTTGTTAGGATTGCGAGGACCCTAACCCACTCATTAGGGCTTTAGCAGTGAGGACCATGGGTTGTATTCGTGTAGATAAAATAACGGAATATTTATGTGAACCTTTGAGGAAATGTTTAAAAGATGAAGATCCTTATGTTCGTAAGACTGCTGCGGTTTGCGTGGCAAAGTTATATGATATTTCATCAGGTAATTCATTAAATTGATAAAACTATATTCTTGCATTAAGCTCAAAACACAAATTTAGGCCTAGTCGAAGACCAAGGGTTCTTGGAACAGTTAAAAGAATTGTTAAGCGATTCAAACCCGATGGTTGTTGCCAATGCAGTAGCTGCTTTATCGGAAATTAATGAGAGTAGTCCCACAGGTCAACCGTTAGTTGGTAAGATTAATTATTGTAATTATATATTTTTTACCTCACACCTTCCATCTACCTCCCAAAGCGGAAGCTCCAAAAAGAACACAGTATCTATTGAAATGAAATTTAAAATATAGCATTTTTTTAAATTATACATATAGACTTCTACAGGATGTTCCCAGAAAAGTTGCACATCAAAATTATTGTGTTTTTGTAATGGAACAAAAATGAAGAATTCATTTTAAATTTCAATAAACGCTTCCTAAACTGGAATTTACCCCGTATAACCCAATATGTTGTTAGAATAACCATTGTGATTTAAATTAAATTAAAACTTGAACCGAAATGTTATACAGGGTGAGACAAAAGTAATACTGAACATTGGTCACTTTTATTTCACGTGGAACACCCATTAAGTATATTAGATAGGTAATGGAGAATTAATGTCTCTTCAAAATACTATTAGGTTGCCTATACCCCTCAGACAAATATTTTCTTAGATATTTTTATGATTTAGTGTCTGATGAGTATGTTCTTGGGTTATTTGATTAAATCTAAAAAAAATGTTCTAAACCTACATATGCACACAAAATTTAATTTCAATACAAACTGTCGTTCTCGTTGAAGCCTCTGCGTCGTATAAGAAGTCCACCCTGTACCTAATATTATTGATTCATTTTATTATAGAGTTAAGTACATCAACAATTAATAAGTTGCTTACTGCTCTAAACGAATGCACTGAATGGGGTCAAGTGTTCATTTTGGATTCTCTATCAAATTACACTCCCAGAGATGAGAGGGAGGCTCAAAGCATTTGCGAGAGAATTACACCAAGATTAGCTCATGCTAATGCGGCCGTAGTGCTTTCGGCTGTCAAAGTCTTGATCAAAATGATGGAAATTTTACAAGTACACATTTCTTCGACTTATTTTTGATTATATACATTATATTTAAAAATATTCTAGGGTGATGTAGAGTTTTGTAATACGCTCAGTAAGAAGTTGGCTCCTCCATTAGTAACTTTGTTGAGTTCCGAACCTGAGGTAATATTTTTATTATCGGTTGCTATAAATATACTTGTGCGTCTCAAAAGTGGCTCACCCATATAACTTTTTTATTATTTCAGTTAAAAAAACGAGATTTGGTGTGATAGTATATGACATAAATTGGGATTGATTGACGTATTCAATTGTTTTCGATCACTTCCTGTTTCACCGGAAATGACTACAACTTTTGATTTTTAAATAGCACCCTCGGTATTTTTTTACTTTATTCGATAGAAAATAACACTCTGAATAGAATGACATGTCATATGTCAACTTTTGATATTTTCGCATATGGTTTATTTAAAATTATAACTTGCGGTTCGTAACAAAAATTTTACTGGAAATGCCAAGTGTGTGGTATTGAATTATTCGTAAAAAAAATACTTTTTCCAAATATACTAATGAGTCACCCTCGTTCCATTTGAAAAAATTGAGATATTATTAAAAATACGATTTTGGCATTTTTTAACCGGTCAAGACAAGGCACTAAAAACATTCAACGATCAAATCTATTTTTCCAAGAGTCCTTGATTAAAAATTAGTGTTTTTAACATAGCCATGGCACTCTAGATTGAAATTTAAAATACAATTTTTTATTAAGCGATAATGTCAAAAGTTGACATATGATACGTTATTCTATTCAGAATATCATTTTCTATCGAATAAAGTAAAAATATACCGGGCGTGCCATTTAAAAATCAAGAGTTGTAGTCATTTCAGGTGAAACAGGAAGTGACCAAAAACAGTTGAATGCGTCAATCAATCCCAATTTATGTCGTATACTGACATAAAAAATCTCGTTTTTTTTATCTGAAAAAATAAAAAAGTTATAGGGGTGAGCCACTTTTGAGACGCACCCGATATACAGGGTGACCTTAGGTGAGCTTGCATTTGAAGTTTGTAAATAACTGAAATACATATCTAGTTTTTCGTTGTTTTATCACCCCAAAATAGTTAAAATTGTTTTTATTAGTTCATAAAGTCCTATGGGTATGTCGCCACTTGCACGGTAAGAAAATCTTGCAATGTAAGTATTTGTTATCTGGTAGTAATTGTTAATTTTGAAGTTTAACTTGGATATAATGTGATTTTAACAGAACATCAACGGTTTTTATCAAATCAAATCAAAATAATTTATTTAGACTGCACTTATAACAGAATAATATTCCCATGACAACAGTACAGTAAATACAAATTCAAAAATACAAAAATAAATATACAATAAAATATACAACAAACAATTTATAGACATATTATCTGCTGAAAAAAAAGTGTTTTTGAATAGTTGTATTTAAATATTTTTAATAGCTTTTTCTTTGTTTTTTGTGTTTTTTTTATTCCGATGACGGGAAGAGGTCCTTCCCGAGACGTTAAGAGTCCATTTCACAAATCCGAAAAAGTAGCAAAAATAGCGTTCGGCATTTAACGTTTTTTGTAAAACTGGCTAGGTATTTTTATATAAATGAAGAAGGAAATTGAAGATAAAGGATTATACTATATCCGTATTGTAGCATATTTTTAGACAACTTCTTTATTTTTAAGATTTTGATGGTCAAATGTCAACAAAATATTTCTTAAGTTTGGACTAAATTTTCTCGAAAATAAAGACATAATTTAAAATTCCGTTAAAATACAGAAATAGATTGAAGTTTTGTAATTAGAGTGATATATAATTTATATGGTTTTGTAACAAATTGCTCGCTATTTTATGGCAAATGCTGAAGCTCTGCAAACCTTAATTAAGCCTTAATCAAAGCACGTGGTGTTTGGAATTTTGGGTGTGGCTTAACACGACAGGATTAGGCTAAGCTTTAGGCAGATTTCTGAAATATAATATATATTTCCTTCGGCCATTACCCGCATTACCCGACCCCTAAGAGCCACCTGAACAGGACAACGTCACAGACAACGTAATACCACAGATTAGGTATCCTATAAGTATACAGATAAAAATCTTGTCCCTAATTCGTGGTACGAAAATTGTTTTTTTATGACGATGTGCAAACGAGTCAAATTTCCTGTGCGCAAAAATAAACTCGCGTAAAATAACAATAAACAGCGTAATAGAGAGATATCGCTAAACCGAATAGCGTGCATGGACGTTAATAAGGCCAGGTGTTATTTCCTTTACGTGAGGTGGTATTAACTCTTTTCATTTATAGTTATCGGATCGGAAAGAATTCTGATCGCGTCGCGTCCGCTATTTAAACTTAACCTAACTTTGAATTTAAAACTTTGAAATTGTTTTGTTTACTAGGTATTTTAAAACTAAAGGGCTAAAGTGCTTATTTCCAGTGCTTTATTGTTCAACGTCTGCCAGTGGGTTTAGGACAACAAGCAACAAATTCTCTTAGAAGGGCTAAGTCGTCATCTGCTGTAAACCTAAGACCCTTTATAGGTTCTTTAGTATTGGAAGAGGTGGAATCCATAGTTTAGGCCATATTTATTTAATTAAAACTAATCCCAGCTACTTAAATGTCAAATTACCTAATAAAACTAAAGCAATAATTCAAAACAATTCAAACATAACCTAAAATAAAAGATCTCGCCGCGCCGGCCGGCTCCGGTTGTCAAATACCCGCACATGCCCATTTAAGCAATTTTTAAACGTTATCAGAGGTTATTTAGAAAGAGCGTTTGGTGTAATTGATCCGCAAATTACGTCAGGCGGTAACGTTATTAGCGGGTGTTGCGTTAAAAATTGATTCGCGCATATCGTAACCATGATAAGGTACGCGTAAATACTGGATGACGCTATTCGGTCAGGCGCTGTACACAATTTTAGAGGCCATAAGTGGGCGTGCTATGTGCGCAAACTAGTCACCTAACTAGTGCCCGATTCCGAAAATTGGAACCACGAAAAACAATAAAGAAAAAACAAAGATTATAATCTGTATAATCTGTGGTAATACACTCTTAAGCATTTTTTGTCCGTTAGGCAAATTTGTTGATCAGTAAATCACTGCTGACAAGTTGGTCTCCGTTGAATTAACGCAGCAGTGTTTACAAAAAATATCTATTTTATTTTGTAGATTTTCTTACAGAGCAATTGGCGAAATACCCATAGGAATTTTTGAAGAGGTGAATTCGCCACAGAGGTGTAGACATTTTTGTCTTCCTCAGGACTACATTTATTGACAAATGAAGAGCACACGGGAAAAACGATGAAAATCCATTTTTTGATAATTTGGTTTTAATGTCTAATATTTTCCGTCTTAAAAAACTAAACCTTTTGGTACCTAAATAAACGAAAATATCGATAGCGTTCACATAGAAACAGGCATTTAAAAATACCACATACTCGGGAAAAACGATAAAAGGCGATCTAGCCATTTATTGTTTTTGGATACTCATCATTTTTCCCGTGTGCTCTTCAAATGGTTTTATATATAAAAAAATTGCTATCAACTTCCGGTTTTCGGTACTTCCGGAAGTGCCGCCATATTGCAAATGTTATTTTTAAAGAAGAGATTCACCCGAGAACACCCTATATATACCTAGTTATTTTATTCAATTTTATATTACTACTTTGTAATATTAACTCTGAGTTTATACTAGGTTCAGTACGTAGCACTCAGAAACATCAATCTAATTGTCCAAAAGAAACCTGATATTTTAAAACATGAAATGAAGGTATTTAGTGACTTTATATTTTTTACAAGATAATTTTAACAGGAAAATCATATTTTTTTAGGTATTTTTTGTGAAGTATAACGATCCAATCTATGTAAAACTAGAGAAATTGGATATCATGATTCGTCTGGCTTCGCAGAGTAATATTTCGCAAGTCCTCAGCGAATTGAAAGAATATGCTACAGAAGTATATGAATATTTTAAAGTATCTATAAAAATCTGATGTTTTTATTTATGTTTTGTAGGTTGATGTCGATTTTGTCAGAAAAGCCGTGAGGGCTATTGGACGGTGTGCTATTAAAGTCGAACCATCTGCAGAGAAATGTGTCTCCACATTATTGGATCTCATCCAAACCAAGGTCAATTACGTCGTTCAAGAAGCTATCGTGGTTATTAAGGATATTTTTAGGTGAGTTTTCAGAAAATTAAGGACATTTACATTAGTAACGTTTTTATAGCAACGATATACCGATTTCATCAAAAGTGTGCGGTCTGGATTTTAACGTGTAAGACAGTGATGTAGACAGCTTAATGGAAAATCAAATCTATTAAAAAAAGTGATAACAATTGGGTCGACACATTTCTTCTATGCGGTATTGCCGGATTTTGCATCAAAATTTCAAACCGCACAAGTAGGCGTTTACGAAAAATGTTGCATCTAAGGTTGGAACTTTATTTTTCACTATTAGTTACTTATTTTACCACAGCAGTAATAGATTATATTTAGTTTAGATATATGATCATCATTTCAGTAGTATACATGAAAGATTTTAAAATAGCTTATATTTTTCTACACTCATTTTCCTACAAACTTAAAAAACCGGCAACACTGTATGCCGCTTTTGATTTCGTCTAGTGATGGGTTGTTATTTAACTATCTGTTATTTTATAACAATTATTTAGAAATAACATAACGCAACCGTTACTACTTCTAAAAAATAACAGATATAATATAACGACACGTAGAGATCGGCCGCTCGTAAAACGAAAAACGAAGTCGGCGCTCTGCACCGCCACGAAATTCTATGCTGCTCGAAGCAATTCCAAAAAACAACTAGTATGGATGGAAAACATGTTATTTCGTCAACCATCGATACAGGCGGCGAGACAACGAACAACGGAGTGGGGAATGCGCTACGGCGTACGTAGCTGCTTCGGTCGATGCCGTCAACTGTCGTATTGGGTTTACAGCTTAAAAATAATGGGATATAAAAGAAGCAGGTTTTTTGAAACAGTTGCGGGTATAACGCCTGGCGGTCGAGATAACAGGAATTGGAAAGGAACACTGCTGCATCGGTCGATTGTCGATGGAGGCTCGCAACGGGTTGGAGAAGCAGTCATTTTAGATACGTTGTTTTTCAACCTGTTACGAGCATAACAGGGCGGCGGTCGAGATAATCGGAGTGGGAAAGGAACAGGGGCGGATACAGAAATTTATTTTAGGGGGGGCCCAAATAAAAAATAATGCAAAATATGCCTTGGGGGGGGGGCTTTTTTAACCCAAAAGCCTAATATTTAACCCAACTTACAGACTTTAGGGGGGGGCCGGGCCCCATGGGCCCCCCCTCTGTATCCGCCACTGGAAAGGAACGCTGCTGCATCGGTCGATTGTCGATGGAGGTTCGAAACAGGTTGCAGAATAACGCATCAGTTGTTTTAAATACATTGTTTTTCAACCTGTTACGAGCATAACGGGCGGAGGTCGAGATATTATGGCGCTGTATGTTTCAATACGTTCGTTATTAAGTTTCAATATTTAGGTATTTATTTATTCTGAAAAATTTTCAGAATAATATTTTAAGATTTTTTCAAAATGTATACAGGGTGTTTTGAAAAATCTGGTCATTGATTAATCGCGATCCTGCTTAAAGCCCTTGACGTAAAAAGCTGATTTTTGGAAAACGGATTGACTTTAGGGTGTAGAGGTTCGATAAGAAGGGATTTTTCGAAACTCGAATTCTAAGGGGGTGAAACCACCCTCAAATATTAGAATATTTTTTATTTAAAAACCGGTGAGTTTTTCGGAAAAACTCTTAAATACGTATATTTTATTTCGTTGTTTTACATATTTTAAGATTTTTTAAAAATATATACAGGGTGTTTCATAAAATATGTCCATTGAGTAATCACGATTCTGCTTAAACTGCTTGACGTTTAAAGCTGATTTTTGGCAAACGGGTTGAAGTTCGATAAGGAGGGTTTTCTCGAATCTCAAATTCCAAGAGGGTGAAAACGCCCCTCAAATATTAGAATATTTGTTATTTAAAAAACGGTTAGTCTTTCGGGAAAACGCTTGGACACGCATAATTTATTTTGTTTTATTACATATTTTGAAATTTTTTAAAAAATCATACAGGGTGTTCCAAAAAGTTGAGTAATTGATTAACCACGATTCTGCTTAAACTGCTCGACGTTTAAAGCTTATTTTTGGCAAATGTGAGAAAATTTTATCCAGTTTGTATGTTAAAAGAAATTCTTGCTTTGCTTTATCATCACCATTACAAATTATTAATTCGACGCGAACGAAGTCGCGGGTGCACGCTAGTTTAAGTGTAAAATTAATTCGAACTCTAGTGTGTAATTGGTTTACTTATGAAGAATATACTACACATTTTCTTATATTGCTATTTTTTAACCGCAAATGGTAAAATTATAACTAAGAGCTTCTCGCCCGTCGAGTGAGATGCACCCTGTACACTGCTACGCAATTCAGGATCTATGCGGATTGAGGGGCAAGGCGTAGGTAGATCGGAATGTATACGTATAGACGAGTGACGGAATTTTGGCTTTTTTATATCGCAATTTGTAAACAGCGCTTATTTGTAAACGACCACCGTTTTTAGAGAGGTATTTTAGATAACAATCGATATTTAGAAATGTTTTGACACCCTGGAAATACTACCACCGAGCATGTCATTGTTGCAACTTGCAACTGCGTTAATACGCCTGGCGGTGACCGCCTCATACTCTTTCAGATATTTAGTAATAAAATAAAGAAACCTGTTATTTTTAAGCTGTTTTTTATAAATAACTGTAACAATTTCAACTGTTATCTAAAAATAACAGTTATGCCCATCACTAATTTCGTCTCTCTGTCTGTCAACTGGTCATTTATATCTCTATCACACGCATTAAAATCCAGACCACATAAGTTGGATGACCAGCAGGGTGTGGTGTTAATGGGAACACAGACGTTACTTTGACAACTGTGACAGTTAAAGCGACATAATATCTTTCTACTCATAAATGTTTGGTACTTTTGTTTGATTAGATTGGAATAATTTTCGGGTGGGTTTATAAAATGAAACATTCAAATTAGTAACATTTCTTTATTTAATAAAATATTGTGCAATAATAAGAACAATCTAGTGCCAAGCCTGTAACAGAAATAAACTTAACTCTCGTTTAAAGAGAGGTAGCACTAGTTAAAACCTTCTCAATCTTTTCATATCTTTCTGGTTGATCAAGAAGTACTATATTCAAATTAGCCATTAAAGCATTCTCTTTTAAAATTAAAAATATCCCATTATCTTTACAATACTCGTAAATATTTTGTACTTTTTGTTTTATCAAATTTGGATCTTTTTCTTTAACGGTAAATACTTTAAAGGCAGATAATGGATTGCTTTGAACATTATAACCACAATTTAAAAGAGTCGAATGAAATTTTTTCGATAGCACTCCAAGTTTTTTTGTCGTTTCTTCTGTAATAAGATCGATAGATTCAATACAAGCTTGAACAAGATAGGTTGGTAAGGAAGCCGAAAAAATGTACCCACTGCCAGATAAGCGTTGGTGTTCTATAGCGGTGTGTGATCCTGTAATAAAAATTAATATAAGGTATTATTTGCAATACTGGAAATCATCATTTTTTCACGAAAATTTGTATAACCCCTATTTTGGTGTTGTAGATTATCTGAATTTTTTTTTGGTGTAGAGTAAAACTGTAAGAGACTTACAGTTTTTCAAAAAAAAATGTAAACACTGAATTTTGAAAACCTACATTTAATCAAATAACTATCTACTGACACTAAATTATAAAAATTAAAATATCTGGGAAAATCTTTGTCTGAGGGGTAAGCAACCTTAACAATATTTTGAAAAGACGAATTCTCCATTGGTACTGGAATAATATACTGGGTGTTCCATTTGAAATAAAAGAGTAACTTGCTTTTAAATCTGATCAATGTTCAATATACAAAACGAATCCCGCCTAAAAATTTGGAGTGGGAGGTAAACCTGCTAACTGTCATCTCAACGTGTTTTCGGAATACGGCTAGCGTTGCCATTGTTAATATAAAGTCCTGAAATCTTACTATTTTTTGTTTCTGTACTTAATTATTCTTTTTGAATTCATTTTTCTATATTTTATCCTTACTTACTTATAATAGTACTTAAAGAAAGAACTAAATATTATTAAAACTTAAAATAGATGCAGGTTTGTTAGCGTTTAATAAAAAATAATTAGAAAATTAAAACTATTAGAAAAATAAATATTTAATCGCATATATAATACATTAGCGACGCTAATTTGAGTTGTGTTATCTTTAATATATGTTTTTTTATGTAAAGTATGATTTTTTAATATACAGGGTGAGTCTTAAATAAGAGTAAATATTTTCAGGACTGGTAGATCTCGATAAATGAAGCATATTTTCTCTTTGCCGTTTTTCAAAAAAGTCCACAATAACTGAGATTCTTTGAAAATTAAAAAAAAATTTGCTTTCAATTTCAGAACCGCTGAATCTTTTCTGGGTTTTCTTTCTTGTAAATTTAATCTACCATCTATGTTCGCATATAAAGATATTATGTTTTTTAATCATTCTAGTTTTAATCATCTGCTGATGCACTGCAGTAGTAAAGTGCTTTGGTGTATTGTGGTGAATTAGTGTTTTATTTTGCTGTTGAAACACCCCCGTTCCAACCCTCAACTCTAATCATGTTATTTACTTTTTGGTTTGTTGTAACGCTTGTATTAACAGCTGGTAGATAATCGACTTTTTCTTAAAATTGCTTAATTTATCATTTTGATTAAAAAAAAAAACACTTTCAAATATTAATTTCGAAGCAAACAATATTATCAGATAACAATTTGAAAATGTCCATCTAAAAGGAATAGGTTAGAAAATGGTTAGAACGCGGTAAATCCACAAATCGTGGAAACTCGTTAAATCTTAAAATATAGTAACTATTCAGTATGATTCCTAAATATTTATAATATGCTTTTTACTGAACACATGTTTTTTGAGTGTATAGCTTTTCTCATTTTTTTTGCCTTAATTACATTTCTCTCAGTGTAGCTATAAACAGGCGATCTCTCACATACGCAAATTTGAAGGTCTCAAAACTTAGCCCCCCTCACTTCAATAGTGCTGACGGTTTTTGTCGCTTCTCTACGATTGTTCTTCTCTGCTAGAACCATTCCAGCCAGAACCTTTTTAGCCATAAAATATATAAATTTTTGTGAAAAAATGGACGATTTCCAGTATTGCCAATAATTTCCAAATATAAAAGTAATAAAAGCAATATATTTTGTGCTATTACCTGCACAGAAACCGCCAATCGATCCAACAGCTGCTTCCAAAGTTGAAATTATCATATCTACCCTATAAGAATCAATGTCAAAATGTTCCAGCATGCCTTTTCCGCTACGACCCAATATACCGATCGAATAACTTTCTTCTAAAAATACCCGAATTATATTTTCCTCGGCTATTTGAAGGTATTCTGGCAGAGGTAGAATTTGACCAGTACTCCATGAGACAGCTTCTACAATGAGAAATTTCCTGGAAACTTTTTTCTTTCCTTTTTCTAATTCCACTATTTTATTGACTTCTCTGGCAAACGAGTTTGGATCTTGATGATCAAAATAACACACCTAAAAAGTTAATTTACTATAAAAGGTACTGTATGATCGAAAAAAAAAACGGCGTCAAAGACAGCTGGGGCATGACCATCGATGATAATTTTGGTGAGGTCAATCTCTAAAGGTCATTTACTAAAAATTGTTAATAAAATTTACTTAAACTTGTCAAAAATTAACACTAATTATAGAAAGAATAAACAATGAATGTTTTTGAAAGGAATAAGAAGAAATATTTTTTCACAAATTTTAAACTACACCATTTAAAAATTATTTTTACTTAATATAAAAATAAATTACAACCTTAACCTGGCAGTAAGCGCCATTAAAAAAAAGAAGGGTACAGGCCAAGTAATGTAGTTTAAGGCTTGACCTCGCCAAAATTCTTATCAATTGTGATTCCAAAGCCGTTTTTTTTAGATCATATGGTATTAATAATTAGCAATAATATTCACTTTGCTTTTGGCCATTTGTAGTCCTTGTTGGATCGCGATATTGCAATCTTTGTGTGTAAAAACAACATCATTTTTTTTACAGTAAGCTGCAATAGAACTAGATATAGCTACAAAACCGTATGAATACACAATGGATTCATCCATTCCTAAAAAACTTGCTATATGTTCTTCCAGTTTTAAATGCACATCAGTTGTCCCTACAAAATATTTTATTTAATATTTTCAACTCCTAATATATTTTCAGTTATCCTACCATAAAATGCTCTTGGTCCACAAGTTCCAACTCCATACTTTCTGATAATATTTTCAGATGTTTTTTTAATGTCGTTATTGTTTAGTATGTTTAAATAATTTGCCTGTGCCAAGTTTATTGTTTCTTGATCTGCAGTAACACAGGGGATCTCAATATCATGTTTATCTTTAATTTGTTCATATCTCACTAATGGTTCGGGCTCAAAGGCTGCTAATCTCTCGCGAAGTATATTTTCGTCGATTTTTGTGACTTTCGATGAAGGCATAGTTTGTGACAAATTTAACAAGGGAATCTCCGAGAAATCAACGATTACTATTATAATTAGATATATCTCTTGCTTTTTTATAAGGGTTTTGCTAACGTGGCACTAAAATAAAAATTATTAAAATTACGAATAACAATTTTTCAAGGCCTGAATGAATTTGATTGTTTGTTGACTCATAGAAATTAGGTTAATAATTGACATTTTAAAATGACATTGCAATGTGAAGTTAGCGCTGAATCGATGTGAAGTTGGCGCTGTAAGTTAGCTATGGAGGTCTGAGAATATGATCATTAAATCAATCAGTATCATGAAAGTATGACAATCTGTGCATGAGTAACAAATTAATTGTATGAAGCATTAATTAGAAAATTACTTTAGCGTAGGTGTAAGTTCTTTTAATTTGCGCAGCAACAGTGGTAAATGATATGATTCTCTTATATGCAGGGTTCGGAAAAAACTACATGTTACTTTTTAAAACTACATAAACTACATTACATGTAGTTAATGTAGTTTATGTAGAGGGTGTAGTTTATGTAACCTATGTATGTAACTTTCAAATATCAAAGGTTTGAGATGAGGTTATAATAAGTTGACGCTTTAGAAAACACAATGTATTTAAGAAAACAGAAGAAATATGGCTTTAAATATAATATTCACACATCATATTATTTAGACCCCTCACCCCTCATACAAAGCAAAATTATTTATAATATCAATACATAGTTTATTAACGTAGTTTTCATGTAGTTAATGAACGAAAAAAGGTAAATTACCTACGTCTTAATTAACTACTTCCGAACCCTGCTTATGTGTATAAAATAAATCATACATGTATAAAAGAAATTAGTTTTGAGTGAAAATTACCTAATCATGTGTAATAAATGCTAACTTCATGTCAAACGGAGCCACCTGGTTTTAACTGACGAAAGTTGCTATAAATTTAAGGGAATTTATTTAGGAGGGGGATCTTTTAAATTTTTTAGTACTTTTTTCGTATATAAAATAACAATAAATTTTTTTATTAGCTTAACACAGCAATTTAATAATATTTTTGAATAACAAGATCATTATTTGAAGCACAGAAACAAAAAATGTATAATAAAACTTTTTTTTAAATATTTTTTATACAGCTTTTTATCACAGCCCTTCGAGTACCAGCCAGCCATTTTACGACCATAAAACATGTTAATAACTCACTTGTACAGAGTGTCTCCAAAAAATATGTTTTCATAGTTGTAGAGAAATAAATAAAACTATATTTTGCGATATTTAAAAAACGATATACCGTGTGTTTCTCAGAAGTGGCACACCTCTATAACTTTTTTATTTTTTCAGTTAAAAATCGAGATTCGGTACGTTAGTATATGATAGAAATCAGGATTTACTGGCGTATTCAATTGTTTTCAGTCACTTCCTTTTTCAAGTTAAATCACTACTACTTTTGAGTTTTACATGACATTGTATGTCAACATATATCAACTTTTGACATTTTAGCATATTATGGTTCATTTGAAATTGTAACATGCGGTTCATAACGACAATTTGATACGAAATACCAAGTGAGTGGTGCCAAATTATTCATAAAAAAATATTTTTCCTAATATGCTAATGAGCCACCCTCTTTCTATTTGAAAAAATTGAGATAGGATTAAAAATACGATTTGGGCATCTTTTAACCGGCAAGGACAAGACACTAATAACATTAGACGATAAAATCTATTTTTCCAAGGCTCCATGATTAAAAATTAGTGTTTTTAACACAGCCATGACACTCTAGATTGAAATTTAAAATACGAGTTTTTTAAAGCGAAAATGTCAAGAGTTGACATATGATATGTCATTCTATTCAGAGTGTCATTTTCTATCGAATAAAGTAAAAATATACTGAGACTGCCATTTAAAAATCAAAAGTTGCAGTCATAAGCAGGAAGTGACCGAAAACAATTGAATACGTCATTCAATCCTAATTTGTGTCATATACTAACATACCAAATCCCGTTTTTTTATCTGAAAAAATAAAAGTTATAGGGGTGAGCCACTTTTGAGACGCCCTTGGTATAGTAAAGTAAATTGTAGTAGTGACACTGTCGCTCATGTAAAGGATTTTATTTAATAACATTTCAGGAAATACCCTAACAAATATGAGAGTATCATCAGTACACTCTGCGAGAATCTCGACACACTCGACGAACCCGAAGCCAGAGCTTCCATGGTTTGGATTATCGGCGAGTACGCTGAAAGAATTGATAATGCTGATGAACTTCTAGATAGTTTCTTGGAAGGTATTATAATTTTTTTGCAAACATTGCTTTTTATAGATTATACTCTATATTTATTGCTTCAGGTTTTGCTGACGAAAATGCGCAGGTTCAATTGCAATTACTGACGGCGGTGGTGAAATTGTTTTTGAAACGTCCTCAGCATACTCAAGGACTAGTTCAGCACGTGCTTAGTTTGGCCACTCAAGATTCGGACAACCCAGATCTAAGAGACAGAGGATTCATTTACTGGAGGTATGCAAGCAAACAGCATAAACTTATGCAAAACAGCATTGATGCTGAAAAAGATTTATATTTCATATCAATTAAACTTTTAGTTACGTAATCGAGGGCGCGATTTTTAAATTCATTGTTGCTATCCATGGATATATTCGGCGCCGGGCTGACTAACTGGAATTTAAATTTCCCGCTGGGGATTCACGTGGTAGCTCTGCTGTAAAAAATGTCAAGTTGCTATATTTATTTATTTATTTCCGGAAATTGTTATTCGTTTTGACACTTTAGTTTTGTATTACGAGTTTTTTTGTTTAAATAAATAGTGTTGTGATACTTAAAGCTTAAAAATGTTTACTAGCAGCCCTTGCAGTCAAACATTGTTCTTTTTAGAACCTCTTCTACTGCGAAGTGTACAAAGATAACTTAATAGCCGTAAAAAACTCTTTGCAACTTTATTAAAATATTTTGAACGGGACAGCAGTAGTAATGGCCCCTATTGTCTCTTAAGTGTTGTTAAGAAGGTGAGTTTTGTTAATATAAATAATAACTGTTTATATATTTACAATTAATTTAGTTTTGTTTCCTGAAATATTTTGAACAAATATACCTATTAATCACGTGACTAAAAGTTTAATTGATATGAACTATTATAAAGTTATACACAAAGCCTGTTTAGAATTTCAAGTAGAGTTAAAATATAGAAGTTGTTCTATTTAAAATATGCAATTTGGTAGCCACGTAAGTGCCGCAAAGAACATTATAAACATTACTAACATTAACTCGCTATTTAATTCATATACCATTTATTTTATATTGATATTATATAATTTCTTTAGATTATTAAGTACGGATCCAGCTGCAGCAAAAGAGGTAGTCTTAGCTGACAAGCCTCTCATATCAGAAGAAACCGATCTTCTCGAACCAACGTTGCTTGATGAACTTATTTGCCACATTTCTTCTTTGGCCAGTGTTTACCACAAACCACCCACTGCTTTTGTCGAAGGCAGAAGCGCAGGTACGAGTTAAAAATATTATCATTTGTCTCATTTTGTTAATTTTATATGGTATTTATATATAAAGTGAACAGACAGTCGGTCATCATGACGTGCAGTGTGTTACTCATACGCGTTGTCCGTCATACAACAGTACAACATTCTATGTCGATTGAATTCAATCAGCGGCGTAGCGTGGCGTCAATACAAGGGGATGTACTAAGTAACTGCAATTAACATTTTACCATCTTTTTTATTTAAACTCTTTAATTTTGAAGTTTTGGCCGTTGAGAGCCAACGAGGCTCAACGAGAATCAAAATGAAACTAAAATAGATATAAAATGGGTGGGGGGTTTTCAGCATTTTTTTGAACATATTTCCGACTTTAATATACAAAAAATTATGCATATTTTCATATATGAAAAAATAAAAAAGTTATAGGCGGTGACCCACTTTTGAAAAACACCCGTATATAAAAAAGAATGTTATCTTTATCTTATTCTTTTAATATATTATATTTAGGTATCAGAAAGACCCTTCCTGTTCGCCAAGGGTCAGACGAAGCTCCGGCTCAGGAAGCTACAGTCATACCCAATCAGGAGAGCCTTATTGGAGACTTGTTATCCATGGATCTTGGTGCACCTACAATTCCATCCGGTCCCGCACCTACCACAGCTCCGATAAGTAATGTGGATCTACTTGGAGGCGGATTAGATGTATTGGTATGGTTACATAATAAAAATTACAGCAGTTCCTTGTTTTACGCGGCATGTAGAATATATGAAAGGCTAGAATATAATCACTGCGACCTTACAGATCTATTGTGTCCCCCTTTCTTGATTTAGAACTCATCGTACAGTCTCAGGGCTCACAGAAGACTTGTGTCTAGCCCTAGCAGGCAACTATTAAGCCCGACCAATCACGTTAGAGTTTTTGACAAACACAAATGAATTAACACACTTCAAATAACCACGCTAACCAACCTGATTGGTCAAGCTTAAAAGTTGACTGCTAGAGCTAGACTTCTCACAAAAGCCAGCATCTGACACGCTTTCACAGATGTTAGTTGTCCATCTTCGATATCAGGCGTACCAAGGTATATGGCACGATTGGTTATCGCCTCGGTGCACTCTGTGATGAGGTGTTCTGTTTTTCCCTATTTTCCATTCGCCGTTGTTTCTTAGCTTCAATCTACTGAGGTGTTCATTGAGGAGACAGTGTCCTGTTAAAACCCCCTTAACAAATCGAAGATTATCCTTACTTTAATCAAGGAAGATCTTTGATTTTTTTGGTCGTAAGTCGTGAGAAATTTCTTCAAGTATTTTAGACCGTTGGAGGATACATGTTCTGATTTCTTTCGAAAATCGACATCTATGAAACTATGAACCCTTCCTGGACACAAACGGTACATTGTGAGATAGGAAATTGTAGAGAGAAACAAGCCCTATAACATAGGATACAACATTTTAATGAACAGTGCTTTCCATATAATAAATAAAATGAAATATATACGAAATAATATACATGTACTGATTTCTTTCGAAAATCGACATCTTTGAAACTATGAACCCTTCCTGGACACAAACGGTCCATTGTGAGACAGGAAATTGTAGAGAGAAACAAGCCCTATAACATAGGATACAACATTTTAATGAACAGTGCTTTCCATAAAATCAATAAAATGAAAGATATACGAAATAATATACGTGTACTGATTTCTTTCTATGAAACTATGAACCCTTCCTGGACACAAACGGTACATTGTGAGACAGGAAATTGTAGAAAGGAAATTGTAGAGAGAAATAACCCTTCAAGTGTTTTAGACCCTTTCGAGGTTACGGATGAAGTTTTTCAGGTTCTTGAGTTCCGTTTTAAGTTGGTTTCCACATGGGAATGTAGAATGTAGAATGTTTAGGAGGGGAGTTAATCACCGCGACCTTATAGATCTATTGTGTGTTCCCCTTTCTTGAGTTATAACGAGTTATAATTCATCATACAGTCTCAGGGCTTTAAGAAAAGCCAGTATCTGAGACGGCTCCACAGAGGCCAGCTCTCCATCCTCGAGCCAGCTCTCCATCCTCGATTCCACATGGGAAGCAGAAGGTTCTGGTGCAGTTAGTGGAGTGTTTTTGCCTTGTATCCCTTGGTGGGTTTGGTTTGGCACCCAGAGTAGGAGGACTTTATTTTCTTTGACTAATTTGTTTAGCTTGGTTTATTTTTTCACCAACTTCGAATTGATGGTTCCCTTGCCTTGTATAATGATTCTTTCTATACAATCAGAATCCTTCTTCATGACTTTGAAAGAGTGAGAAGTTGAGAGATGTTCTGTAATATTCAGTTCTTGCATTATGGCTTCATTGGCTCGTTATCAGGCAGTCCAGGGCAATTCTGAGCATACGTCGGCAGCAGTACATCTCAGTTACGTCAATTTTTTTCAGTTCTGACTGTCTCATCGTCTAGGACTCGGAACCATACATTAATATTGGAAATCGAGAGATACCACGGATTATACCCCATCGGCAAGCGAAGTCTTGGGTCGGTGTTTGCATGTCTAGAAGTCAATAGCTATGGCTGTCTTGTAAGTCGGAGAGAGAAAAATGCGACGCTAAATTTCATGCGCTTGAGAAAATAGTTGCTCCTCTTTCTTTATTCAGTACATCTTATTTTACTGAGCGGACCGTACTCGTCGTACATACATACATACAGCCGTTACTCGCTGACGAGTATTCGACACACATAAAGAGAATGGTCACGCAAGGCGTTTTCTTTCATGAGCTTTTCTGTGACTGAAAAGCCCGATACGTGATGTTATCTGCCTACCGCACTCCGGACATTCAAAAATCTCATTGCTTTGTTGCCTCTCTACTTTTTGGTTGCCGCTGTTAACTGAGTTTACAACCCTTCTCCATTGAATTCTATTGTGAGCTGCTTTTTCCCACTCATTCTGCATGTTAATTCCCTTTAAATTTTCGTGGAAAATGTCCTTGTATCTTTTCAGTTGTCCACCCGGCCTCCTCTTACCGTCCACAAGCTCACCGTAAAGCAGAGATTTTGGTATGCGGTTTTCTTTCAATGTACTCGTCGTACACACGAAAATCGGCACCCAAAGCGAGAAATGTTAATAAAAAGTTTGTTTCAATATACGCAGTATTTTCAAGGACCTACTATGTTTACTTGTATGATCCTTGTATTTACAAGGATCCTGCTATCTATGCTCCGCGTAAAATAGGGACTCTTGTATTGCACTGCAAAAAAAACATGTTTTTTTTCTTTGTAGTATGGAGGCACGGAACTTAGTGGTGCTCCTACAGCTGCTGCTCCTTCAACTACAGGGCTTTTAGGAGATATATTTGGTATCACCACAACACCAACTATGTATACTCCACCAAAAGTTTGTTTTTTATTTCTTTTTTTTTACAGTTTTTTATTGTATTTTATCCTTTTGTAGACATTATGGTTACCAGCTGATAAAGGTAAAGGTTTGGAAATACGGGGAACTTTTTCAAGAAAATCTGGACAAGTACACATGGAAATGACCCTTACTAATAAAGCTATGCAGGTAATTTTTTTTCTATTTATGGTGGGTTTATACAACATTGTCGTAACTTTAATTTTAGTCTTAAGCATAAGCACAGTCAAATCATAATTTTTAAACATTAAAATGAAGAAAATAAATAAATAATGTCCCCTAACCCTAAAAATTGAGGCAGCGCCTGCGGTCTTCGATTTTTGTCGTAACCACAATCATAAAGGTGAAAATTGCTGAACTTTAGGTTATTACAGTGTTACCAACTCCGGGATTTTATACCTAAATTTGGGGAGAAAAAATCTATATGGGGATTTTTTTAGGAAGTAAAATTTTTTGGGGGATATTTTTAGGGATAACATTTCATTGGAATTTTACCGCTACCAAAGAGGAGATAAGACCCCTACTGCTATTTTTCAAAATTAATAGGAAAGTATAAATAAAACAAAATAATTTATTTATTTTAATCACCGAATCTTGGATAAAAGTTGTGGGGATTTTAGTTGTTTGGATTTAAGAAGGTTTGATAGCTTTAAGCAAATACGATTTGGCTTTAAGGAAAAGTTTCGAACAGTTGGCTACACTGCTGTAATCAGACGTTTCAAGGTCAACCACTTAAAACACAACGAATTGTTTATTTATTACTATTTATATTTTTAGGGGTTTTCGGGATATTTTTTTAAGTTTTTAGGAATATTTTGGGGTTTTTTTGACGCGAGCGTTTTAGATTTTTAGGGAGATAAATTTTTGAGAGTTGGGAACACTGGGTTATTAAGTTATGCTTATGATTACGACTGCGATGTATAAACGTTCGTATCTAAAATTGTTTTAACATGGTTTTAACTTTTATGATTGTGACTAAAATTGTGATTATGATTACGACTATGTTGTATACACCCGCCATTAGAAACTGTTTTTATTAATTATTGGGTTAAGGACCTAAAAAACTCAACAGAAGTCAGTGTATGTTCCTCTGCATTATTTCATTGTTTTTTGTATGATTTAGATGTTTTTATATATTTAGATCTTTTGTGTTATGTCACATAAAAGAGGTATATCTACCCTCTCTACCATTAAAAAACACATTTTTGTAGGTCATGAGTGGGTTCGCTATTCAGTTCAATAAAAACAGTTTTGGTTTAGCACCTTTAGTTCCCATGAACGTCACAGGTTTGCAGCCTGGGCAAAGCCTCGAATATAGCTTAGCTTTAAGCACAACAGGGCCAGTACAAAGAATGGAGCCCCTTACTACTTTACAGGTTAGTTAAAAAAAATACTATTTATATACAGGGTGGTCCGAATTTTAATCGGGAAATTTCGGCAGCATATGCTCAATAAAAAACTAAAAATGCTTTTATAAATGTATGTCCTAAAATGCTTCGTTTCGGGTATACAGGGTGTAGACGTTTCATTTTTATTTCGGTTTTTTTCCAAATCATTTTTGAACTAATCGATATCTGGATGAACATTATTGTCTGGGTGTTTTTGCAATGGAAAATTCGATTTCGATGTCAATACGACTCCTACTTGAAGGAGGCGCCATCTACATGATTTTTAACTTTTTTGAAAAATAATAACTTCTTATCTGTATCTGTATAAAACTACTGAGTGAAAAAACATTTCCGTTATTTTTTACGTAAAAAAGGTTTCTTGGTAAAAATCGCTATGAGCAACCAGTTTCAAGATATTTGGATGGTAATCATAGATAAAGGAAACAAGTTTAAATTGGAATGCTCGGCTTGCCGCCAAAACTTATAATTGTTTTGGAGCGCATACGTTGTAGGGCGCTGCTATAGCGGTTGCTAAGAACAACCGCAAACAAGAACAGAAATAATTTTTTCTAGTCAAAGTCAGAATCTTCAAAAATTAAACCGCCCTCATTGAAAAAATACCGAAAACGTTTAAAGGGTCCATTTTCAAAGTAATTATTGCTATCTTGTAAGTTTAAATTTTATTTAGTCAAACCCGTGATAATTGTGAAAAAGTGGCATTAAAACTTAAAAGCTGTGTGAACTGTGAAATGCAAAAACCATTGTGGATCGTGGCATAACGTCGGTCCAATGTTTCATAGGTATTTCATACAAGTCCTTATATAAAATGAAAGTTTCTTATATGCAACAAACTATATTTTATTTAAAAAATTAAAAGAAAATAATAAATTTTAATAAACAGTATTTGGCAACATAATACCGGAAAAAGCCGAACCGCACCAAAATTATCACAAGCTTTGGAGAGCGACCATTGTAAGAATAGCGCCAAATAGTACCGTATGATCGAAAAAAAAACGGCGTCCAGTTAGCTGGGAAATGACGATCGATGACATATCCCATATAAATTTACTTATAAAGTGACAGCGATCCTCGTAGCCATCGCTGACGCCGTTTTTTTTTCGATCATAGGGTATTTACATTGTCCTTATGGGTACTTTCCAAACTAAATTGTTTCTTTTATCTATGATGGTAATAATCAATATACATGTCATTATTGACAGAAAATCAACACATTGACTAGATACATCGTTATTTGACCGAAATTATAAATTTGAGAACTTTGTATTTTTTTAAATTAATTCATATTATGTTTCACCTAGAAACATATGATAAAACAGGCCTGCCTAGAGCCGCCTCTGCTCGTAGCGATTTTTACCAAGAGACCTCTTTTACATAAAACACCGCGGAAATGTATATTTTTTTAGTCAGTAGTGTAATACAGGTATCCATCAGAGTTATTATGAAAAAAATTATTTTCTTGTTAAAAAATTTTACCTCCCTGTATCTCAAAAGTTAACGTTTAGGACATCCATTCATAAGGAGTTTTTTTTCTTAGAATAGGTCCAAGAATCAACCCCTTAAATATTAGCTTATTATTAAAAATATTAATATCTACATATATAAAATGCTAATGTTTATCTGTGTCGTCTCTACTGAAGTAACGACTTGCTCTAGAAAGTTTGTTTTTTACTAAAAGATAGCTAATTGGCTCTTCTAAAAACTGTCGTCGCCGGATTTTTTGTTTTTCATTTAATTAAACAAAAAATAAAAAGAATTTTTTTTCCTGATGTGGCGGATGCGCCAGGCTTCAACTAGTATAATATAATAAATAATAAATATTCAATAGGTGGCCATTAAGAATAATGTGGACGTGTTCTATTATGCCTGTCAAATACCAATTCAGATTCTATTCCTAGAGGACGGCACACTAGATAAACGAGTCTTTTTAACTACTTGGAGAGACATTCCATCTGCAAATGAGGTAAATATTTTTTTAACATATTTATGTTTGTATCACTTATTGTTATTTCATACAGGTTCAATACACTCTAAATGATATCAAAGGTTCTGCAGACGCTATTTCAAGCAAGATGACTATGAGCAATATCTTTACCATAGCAAAACGTAACGTGGAAGGGCAAGACATGCTCTACCAATCACTGAAGTTGACAAATAATATATGGGTTCTTCTTGAACTAAAATTAACTCCTGGTTCAACCACTGCAACTTTAAGCTTGAAATCAAGATCTGTGGAGGTGGCACCATATGTATTTCAGGCTTATGAGATGATTTGCAAAAATTAGTTTAATAAAATATCTTTAAAATTATTTTAACAATATTATATACTGTTTTTAAATGTTATTAGAGTATGCTATAAGTTATATCTTTATTTTATTCCATTATTTGTAGATTAAAATAACTATAATAAATAAATAAGGTACTAATACACTTTTTTCAATTATTTTCCAGCAAGTGTAATATACCGGGTACATCGGCTCAGGACATATAACTAATCCTATATAAATATTAGAGTGTTATATAGTGTTGTTTATTAGTTTCCCAATTGATTTTAGAAGAAACTTTTAATGGAAATTTTTAAAGTACCAGATTATATCAGGGGTGGAACTCTGTAACAAAATAGCGATCGGTAGCGATAAAGAATACTGACCTTGGCCATACAAACTAAACGACAAGCGACAGTATTCTTCATCGCTACCGATCGCTATTTCGTTACAGAGTTCCACCCCAGGCTACTTGTCAACTTTAAAACTCTTCCTCTAAGCATTTTTAAATAATCTGCAGATAAGAATTAACTTGTACAATGGTAAAACGCTGGCCCCCAGCAATTTATTAAACTTTTTGAAGCATTGAATGACATTTTTGCAAATTTTGCAAATGACTTAAAAACACTTTAGCAGAAGAGTTTTAAAATTGATTGGTAGAATGATCTAATCCAGAACTTTTAACAAGTTTCTTCTAAAATCACTAGGGGAGCCATTAAACAACACTCTTAAAATTTACATGGGGGATTTCCTATGTCCTGAGCTGATACATAATCCTGTATACAAAATGTATAAGTCAACAAAAAGCTTTAAACATGTTTGTCAATATTTCACAATAGTGGCATAACATTAGATCCTAGACTTGTCATAACATGCAAATAATAAAGAAAAACTACTTACTTCTCTTTGAATAAGTATTTATTACAAACAAAGCTTAAATTACATTAAGACATGAATAAAATTAATGTTGTTTACGTCTGAAACTGCATCCTTCCGTTAATCTAGCTTTACCTCCCGTGGACGTGCACAAAATCGTCGAGCATCCTTTGCAAGGAACCGCGCTTTGTGCATGTGAAAAAATTGTGGAGATAGCGTAGCATCCTGGGCACTTAACATCCATGAAGTAACTGTTCGGGTGCTGGACTAATCGTTTCTTTTTGTGCGCCCTTTTTTGGTTTTCGGGGCTAGGGTGCAATAAGTCGACGGCTAAAGGCATCTAAAACACAATATATACATTTAAAATTAACCACTGTTATAAAGTTATAATATCTAAAGTATATATAAGCAATTATACTAACTTTTATCTCTCTTTTTCAATAAAAAATCGCCGAAATTGGTTGAAATGCACGTGGTACTTTCGGCAATCAACCATGTAAAGGACGTTGACAGAACATTGACAGCTCGAACTGAAGTAGGCAACAAATCAAAACCGAAAAGAAATAAGTTTAGATGATTTTCTAAACCAGGGTTGTGCCAAACTCTTTGGCAGGGTTCGAAAGTAGTTAATTAAGACGTAATAAGAATTAAGACGTAATTTACCTGATTAACTACGTGTATTTTTTCTTCAAAAACTACGTCTTGGTAAAGGTGTGGATCCGGTGGCTGACCTTGAAGCCCATATTTGCTGCATTTGATCATCGATACTACGCAAGCGCACATCGTCGAGGTTGCCAAATTGCAGTTTATTTTCGAATTATTTGCAGTTTCGAATTATTTGCAGCGAAATTTTTTTTTGACTCCTGTTTTCTTAAATACATTATGTGTTTTTAAAGCTTCAACTTATTATAACCTTACCGCAAACCTTTGATATTTGAAAGTTACATAGGTTACATAAACTACACCCTCTACATAAACTACATTAACTACATGTAATGTAGTTTATGTAGTTTTTAAAAGTAACATGTAGTTTCCGGAACCATGTTCTTTGGTTGTGCTCTAAAAAATGGGTTACCAAAGATTAGAAGTTTTAGAAAGATTAGAAAAAAATTCTAACCTACATTTAACATTTTTGACATTGACATTTTTCGCTTGATCAAGAAATTGATTTGCTTTTAAAAATTCCTAAAGAAAAATGTCTCTTCAAACTACAATTTATAATACGGTTTTTAAAAGATCGTCTACTTTTGCATTAGCATTTGTAGCATCAGCCTTTTTCTTTGAAAGAGGTTTTGACTTAGCAGCCCAAACGATCTATGACAAAATTAATGAAGGAGTAAGTATAGATTACATAATTTATGCACACAATCTAGTGAATTCTAATATATTATTTTCAATTATAGAAACAGTGGAAGGATATTAAAGATAAATATGCCCAGTAGAGATCCAAATTTTTTATCACTGTTGTAGTTTGTAGTAAAGTATTAAATAAATTCGTATTTATAATAAACGTGTTGAATTAATATGTCTTTATTATCAAATTAAAATAACATTAACAGTACATCGTTTTAAACTCATTCTGTAACTTCCCAAGGCTTTTCTGGTCTATGTAAATCCCATGGGTAAGGAGTCTTATATTGGGGAGGTTCTTGAAGCTTGACTCCAGCTTCTTCCAACGCCTTTAGAAACAGTGCAACCTTTCCATCTTCATTTGGTGGATGTATATCACACCTCAGTTCAGTTAAACCAGTCTGAAGACATCTATATCCTAGTATCTAAAAACAATTATTTCTAATTGTACCACTTTGTTGGAATTTTAGTAAAACAGTATTCATACCCTTCCTAAATTTATATATGCTGTAGTATCTTTTGACTTATAAAGTTGTTTCTTTATACACCACTCAGAAGTACAAGCTTTAAGAACTTCCCCATTCTCAAAATGATTGACAAAAGCTGTGACATATTTATTTGAAGCCTTTAGTTCTAATCTAAAATCAATTTTATTATAATGATGCAATGTTTAAAATATAAAAAAAATGTTACTTGTGCCAATAACTCTTTCCTGGCTTGTCTATGTGATAACCATCAGGTTTATAAGCAATTCTCATTCTTTCCAAGTTCCTAGGATTTCTGTTTATGAAAGTATCAGCCAGATTGGCTTGTTTGTTTGGTTTAACATTATTACTTAAACATCTAAAGGTAACTGCTTTTAACGAATTTGTACAGTTCCTCACAACTTGCATTGTATTTCAGTTGGTTGATAAACTCAGTTTATTTTAAGCCTAAGAGTATATCGCCACAGTAGATTAAAAACTATTTTATAGTTTCTATTTTCCCTCTACGGAGTAACCACAAGGTACAACAATGGAAAATTAGATTTTTATAGATATACATACCTTAATCCTTTTGTAATTGTTTTAAGTGGTACACATTAACAAGATAACACAAACAAACAGTACTTTTACAACTATCCTACTATTTTTATACCACCACATAAGCCTAGACATAGACATGTGATAGACATCCGTAGCTCCTTTAAAAAACTTTTTTAACTCTTTTACTGTCCTCCATTCACGCAGCTGTGCAGCTCTGAACTGTTCAAGAACGCGATACTCTCAATTCATACAGTTCCAGAACTGTTCCGCGTTCCGCGCCATGGAGGCTTGTGATGGAGCAGGATGGAGCTATGTGATGGAGTGTGATCTGAGTGTGATGGAGGCACTATGCACTAGGCTATCGCGCACCCTTTCAGAACCGTTCTCGAATCGATTTAGTCTCGGGGGTAACTCAGGCCCAGTGTAAACCGGATGCTGCTAGCTATGGAGTGTAGAGATTTGGTTGCGACCAGGGTTCGGGAAACTACATGTTACTTTTAAAAACTACATAAACTACATTACATGTAATTAATGTAGTTAACGAGAGGGTGCGTTATAAGGGGGGGAGGCGACATAAGCTATCGAGAAATGTACCCAGCAGGGTTTGGAAGTAGTTAATTAAGACGTAATTTACCTGATTAACTATGTGTAGTTTTTCTTCAAAAACTACGTCATTTCCCGTTCATTAACTACATGAAAACTACGTTAATAAACTATGTATTAATATTATGAATAATTTTGCTTTGTATGAGGGGTTTAAATAATATGATGTGTGAATATTATATTTAAAGCCATATTTCTTCTGTTTTCTTAAATACATTGTGTTTTCTAAAGCTTCAACTTATTATAATCTCACCTCAAACCTTGATATTTGAAAGTTACATACATAGGTTACATAAACTACACTCCTCTACATAAACTACATTAACTACATGTAATGTAGTTTATGTAGTTTTAAAAAGTAACATGTAGTTTTCCGAACCCTGGACCCAGTTACGCCATATTGGTACTGGCAATTCTGACAGTTCAGTTTTTGAGGTTAAGTGCGTTGCTGCGAGTGTTTTTTTGATTTTCCAAGACTATTTTTGTGTTTTTATTTGAATATTTGGACTTTCCGAACATGTCTTCGTGTGCTGTAAGTAGTTGTTGCAGTCGACAACGTGTAGAGAGGAAGAAATCCACTGAAATTGGTGTTGAATCACAGGTAAGTGTAAACATAATACAGGACCTGATTAAATTATTTTCGTATTTTCCATTTAACTAGTTATGCGTTTATTAATTAAATATTAAGTGTTTCTATATTGACAAAGTGTTTAGTTATTTAATACTTTGTTAGAGGCAATTAAGTAATTAAAACATGCCTCGACTTCTATTCTTTAAAAAAAATTCTTAACAATATCTGTTATTTTTACTACATATACTTTTTTTGACAGGAAAGAGTATTTTGCTAGGCCAAATTTAAAAGTTTTGTTTTAACTACGGTTTATTTTTCTATTTTTACACTAAGATTTTGTACTTAAACATTTATTTACATTCCTTTTTAGCATCTGCTAGCATATACTATGTACAAATTTTATATAGTATAGCTTTAATTTTTAGATAAATATCAAAATCCCATCCGTCGAGAAGCTTGGGTGAAGTTTGTGTACAGGAGAAACTGGCAAGCTACATCAGGTAGTGTTCTATGCTCGAAACATTTTTCTGATAGCTGTTTTGACAGAACATCTCAATAAAATATCTCAAATAAATAATCATTTCCTAAGATTTCTAAATTTTAATGATTATCAAAATGTTAATTATGGTAAATCAGTAATCATGTTTAATTATTATTTTCCGCTTTTTTTTTAAATGTTAAGGTTATTATTGTTAGATACATGAATAACAAGGCAATTAGTTTAAGACATAGTAGCAACAAAACAGTGTTATTTAGTGAGCAATAAAATTTAATTTATTTAATGTGTATTATTTTTTTGTGTTTCCTCCTTAAATATACATTAGTATATAGTATATATACATCAGTATATAGCCATTAAAATTAATCTTGTAATTTATATTTTTGAAAAAATTGTAGGTTTTGTAGTTATTTTGATTAATTAATTTTTTATTTAAAAAAGTTGAGGTCGTTATATTGTGTAAAATAAAATTTTTCAAAGAAGTTTCTCTTGAGTTTCTGTAATCCGGCCCTGCTAATGCCGCCATATTGGTGCTGGCTTAAGCCACGCCTAGTGTTACCATTTTTCGCAAGCACTTTAAATCATATAATAATACGTATATGCTTTAAATGCTCATAGCGTCTCCCTGTATATAACCTCATTGGTTTGAGAGTTTGAGGGTGCAGCCCATAGTGCAGCCACACTATCCTAAAAACGGCGTATCGGCGTAACGACCTTGAATCGATTTCCAGTAATTCTATTGGCTGAAATTTTTGACAGATGAATTTGACAGATAAAATTTCTGACAGATGAATGTTTCAGCCAATAGAATTACTGGAAATATATTCAAGGTCATTACGCCGTTACGCCGATACGCCGTTTTTAGGATAGTGTGGCTGCACTCTCAAACCAAAGAGGTTATATACAGGGAGACGCTATGAGCATTTAAAGCATAGTTTTCATGTAGTTAATGAACGGGAAAAGACGTAGTTTTTGAAGAAAAACTAAACGTAGTTAATCAGGTAAATTACGTCTTAATTAACTACTTCCGAACCCTGGTTGCGACTCCATACTGCTAGCATAGCAAACACTATTTCTTCATATATAAAGTTAATACATATACGAATTGTAAATTAAAAACGACATAGTGAAGAACCGTTTGATCATAACAGTGATATTTTGTTTTAAAAAGATATATGAATCTAACTTCTTCTTCTTCTTGTTTCACGATGACCACGCGCCTTTCGACGGCCAGTCAGAGTCTAATACCTATATGAATCTAAGATTGCCCCAAGGATTGCCCTATAAAGGCCCTATATGACTATTATCACCTGCTATCTTCACACATATTTTGTTCTATTTCAAAAGGATACAAAAATAATATTGTAAAAAGTTCACCTTTGTACCTTTAATGTACCTTTAACCCTGTGCTTAAATTTAAATTGTTTTTTTGAATTTATAAACATATATTTGTAAGAAGTGTATTGCAGTTCCTCTGATTAGCTTAACAGCAGTATTAACCGAAATGGCTCTATTCAAAAGTACTTTAAATATAAGTAATTATTGATTATCTTGATATAAATACTAGAATAATAGATGTATTGTTTTTTACAGCAAAATTTATGAGCAGTAGAGGCATTGCGTCTTTATCGGCTTTATCGGATACACATCAGATGCTGCAGAAAACATGTAGGGATTTTGCCGAAGGCGAACTTAAACCTATAGCTGCTAAAATCGATAAAGAACATTTATACCCCGAAGAACAAATTAAGAAAATGGGAGAATTAGGACTGATGGGTATTACAGTTCCTGAAGAGTTAGGTGGTCCTGGATTAGACTATTTAGCTTATTCAATTGCAATGGAGGAAATATCTAGAGGGTAGATAGTAGCGAACAACATAGATGACCATTTTACATTTATATATAATGTAGGTGTGCAAGTGCGGGTGTTATAATGTCAGCTCATAATTCACTGTATCTCGGACCAATTCAGCAATGGGGTACTCAAGAACAAAAAGAAAAATGGGTTGCACCTTTTTCTACAGGTGAAAAGGTATTGAATTAATACACAACTAAAGTAGTGCTTGAGTTTGGCTACATTGTTATAGATTGGATGTTTTGCCTTATCTGAACCCGGTAATGGATCTGATGCAGGGGCTGCATCGACAACTGCTAAAACAGATGGAGATAATTTTGTATTGAACGGTGCTAAATCTTGGATTACAAATGGGTATGAAAGTCAAGGTGGTGTGCTTTTTGCTACTACAGATAAAAATCTTAAGCATAAAGGTAGATAGTTAATTTAAAATGGGCTTGGTGGCGCCTCTCACATGATGGGGAAGCTCCAAAGAGAACAACAATTTGTATTGAAATGCAATTTAGGGAGCATATGTGTAGGTTTAATTTAGAGCATTTTTCAAAATATATAGAGTTCTACAGGGTGTCCTCAAAAAAGGTTACACATCAAAGTTCTGTTTTTTGTAATTGAACACCATATATATTAGGTGATTTTCGGATTTTAGGAAAAAAATAAAGTTAAGTATTATTAGTGAAGCATATCACTAAAATGTAAGGTTTTTGACATACTTAACGTTTTCTGAAAATGAAAAACGAATTTTAAATTTCAATAAAAGATACCTAAATTGGAATTTACCCAATATAGCCTAATTTGTAGTTAGTAATAATCATTGTACTTTTGTCAAATTAAAACTTGACTTGAAAACTTGTACAGGGTGAGACAAAATTAATATTGAACATTAGTTACTTTTGTAAGCAAGTAACTCTTTTATTTTAAATGAAATACCCAGTATATTATTCTAATTTCAGTGGAGAATTTAATATATGTCTCTTCAAAATACTATTAAGGTTGCCTACCCTTCAGACGTCGATTGCCCTAGATATTTTCATTTTTATGATTTAGTCAAAGATTATTTATGTCAGTTGATCTTTAGCTTTTTTCGTTTTCCTGTTATTACCGATTCTGAACCGTCCTAGAACTGTGATGCGTATGCGCAGAGGGAAATATGAAGACATTATTTCATTCGCGCATGCGCTGCAGAGTTCTACGACGGTTCAGAATCGGTAATAACAGGAAAACGAAAAAAGCTTTTGTTATTTGATAAAATCTAGGTGGCTGTAATCTTAGATGCTGTGATATTCCTGACGTTACTTCAACATAGTTGTAAATTTAGTTTCAACTTTAACAACTAGTTATCATTTTTTTGCTAGTCGAAACGAAAAAAAATCTCAGATATTTGCCAAAAATGGAAACAAATGGAGAGATTTGATACAATATTTTACCAAATTGGTGGAATGCTTAAATTCTCTTAATTTAACTAGTTTCAATTTTTTATGGGAATATGTTAAAGATAGTGTTTCGAAAATACTGCAACTACTGTTGACATAATGAGAGAAAGGATTATGGCTGCATATCGAAGTACCGTATGATTGAATAAAAACGGCGTCAGCGATGGCTATGAAATGAAGATCGCTGTCATTTTATAGGTAAATTTATATGGGAAATGTCATCGATCGTCAGCATACGCGACCGACCATGTGAAATTGTTCATATAAACTCATGGTACTTGCTCGAAGGCGCGGACGCTCCGTCGCGGACCGTCCGCTCCATCTGAAAGCGCTCTTAGTCTTTAAGTATATTTGATTTTAGTCATATGCTTCTCTAATAAAACTCCCCTTTATTTTTCAGCTAGAATCCGAAAATCAATTAATATATAGGGTGTTCCATAAATGCTCTAATTTAACTTACATTTGCTCCTAAAATTTAATTTCAAAATTTCAATATAAATTGCCGTTCAGCTTGGAGACTCCGCGTCGTATGTGAGGCGCCACCCTGTATATTTCTTCAATTTGATTTTATTCGGGATACTTTTAAGGTATATCTGCTATAATCTTTCCTAAGCCTGTCGATGGCTTAGAATTAGGAAAAAAAGAAGATAAATTAGGAATTAGAGGTTCTTCAACCTGCGTCCTCGCATTTGACAATTGTAAAGTACCTAAAGAAAATTTGTTAGGAGAATATGGGCTTGGTTTTAAGGTATTAGTAATATATTTCTTAAATTATTGATTTAAATCTATGAAGTTATAGATTGCCATGATGGCTTTGGATGGGGGTCGCATAGGAATAGCATCGCAGGCTCTAGGTATCGCGCAAGCCTCTTTGGAAGTGGCTGCGGATTATGCTACGAAAAGATTAACATTTGGTAAACCAATAATTAAGGTAAAATTATTTTATTAAGTTATTAAGTTTCAGGTGATTTTGTTTGAAAATATTGAGGGATTTTATATAATTTTAAAAAAAAAATTGTGCGTGCACTATGTGCGCATATTTGTAGTGAAACTTCTTACTAACAGGTATTAAATTGAAAGATTTGAAGGACATGTTTGAATAAGTGTAGTTTGAAATGTTGAAAAAGTAATATATGAAAAAAAAAATTTTACCTGTTACAAATAGTTTTTTCAAGTTACAAGTAATTTTTTACACGTACCAAATAGTTTTTATGCGTAAAATATAGTTTTTTACGTGTAACAAATAGTTCTACACCGGTAAAATAAAATATTAATAAATAATTTGATTCACTTTCACAAAATTTCTTTTAAAATATCAATATTTTTTATATAAACACGTGGACTGCTCACAAATACACGTCGCATCACTACGTATTACCCTTGTATATGAATTTTTAAAGTAGCTCAACCTAAGACGTTTATGGATGTAAAGCACCAGATGGCGGGGCGTATTTCACAGTCTTTTACTACATAAAAATATTTTTTGTTACTCTGAATTTTGAAGCGACCAATAAAAACAGAGAAAATAAAAATCGATAATTTTCGTACTGTGCCAATTGGTTACTAATCGACCAGATACTTTTTGTCTATTAGATATGCTATAAAAGCTGGTAATTATACAATTCGACCATTGTAAATACCCGACAAATTTCGCAAGGCCGACGAGGCCGATGCTTTTCACTGATAAAAAAAAATGTTTCTTTAGATATTTTTTCTTTTTGAATGCACATTTTTAAAGTATTTTATATTCTTTGTCCGCTTGATCTATTATACTGGTTGCACGTATCGAGGTTCTGTTTCTTCTAGTTTTAAAAAATGTTCTTATTTCTTTGTAGTTGTAGTGGTTGTAGCGTAAAATTAGATTAATTTTATTAAGTTTAATTATAATGTTTAGTGTAGAATACCAGAAATAGTTTAGCAGTGTTTTTATAGTTTATTATTTTGCAGTTAAGTAGTAGGTGAAAGGATAATTTGGTTATTTTTTCTTTTTGTTTGATTAATTAGTAAGTTTGATAATTTTTTCAGTGTAGAAGTGGTTGAAGTAGTGAAGAAGTAATTGTGTAGTGTTTTTATAAGAGATTATATTAGTTTATTTTGTAGATGAGTAGTAGGTGAAGGTATTTGGGTATTTTTTCTTTTTGTTTTTCTTCTAATTGTAGTAATTCTATTAAGTATTGTGATAGATTACACTATATCTCTTCCTTCAACTTCGTTGAAAAGTGCGTTATCATATAATTTTGGTTTTCTGGTAGTAGAATATACGAAGTAAAAATCTGATCAAAGTTATTTTAAATTAAATTAATCGAGTTTTATTAATCAAATTAATCTAGCCAAATAATAATAATAGTTAGTTTCTAAATACTAAACAGGGTGAGTTTCCTACGATGTTCTCTATGGGTATCTCGGAAACTACTGGAGATAGAGTCGGTTAAATGGGGAAAAAATTGCAGTTTTGTGGGGTCATAAATATGCGCCCTTCGGATTTTTCGGAGAAATTCAAGGCTTACTAGATATTTCGAAAAAAAAATTTTTGGCTATTTTAAAACTTTGTCTCTAATTCCATTATAATCTACCGTATGATCGAATAAAAACGGCGTCAACGATGGCTATGAAATGAAGATCGCTGTCATTTTATATCTATGTAAAATTATATGGGAAATATCATCGATCGTCATTTCATAGCCGTTTTTATGCGATCATACGGTATTTTAGACAAAAACTTTTCAGATAAAAGTTGTAGATAATCACATACCTAATGAGTTTGTGTTTTCTGTTTTTTTTGTAAAGCCTGTCATTTTTGACATATGACACAAACATTATGTTTTTTTTTAAATGGAAACCATAGTTGGCCATGACTTCATAAATAGCGCCATTTTTTAAGCTTTTCAGCGATATAGGTATAATATGTTTTTTTCGAAAAATTACAAGTTATAGCCAATTCTTTTCTTTCTTGGCTAATTTCCATACCAATAATACCATGCCAATTAGTTGGCATCAAAAATGTAAAAAGTTTCATGTTTTCAAAAAAATATCATAAAATTCGTAAAGCACTCAATTTAGAATAAAATAATCTAAGAATGAAATGATTCTTTTATAAACCTGCATTAAATCAAATTAAAATAGGTATGTAACTTTTTTTTAAATATTAATTAACAGCAATTAGCATTATCATAAATTATAAATAATGTACCAACATATCGAAATAATAATTTCTTTGTTAATACGGTTTAGAATTCTTAAAATAACAGGCAAAAATAATCCACGATTTACAATAAAATAAAAGTTTCGTTTAAATTTCTTAATCAGCTGATCACTATTAAAGTTCGCAGAAATCGCTATATTATTACATTACTCTGAGGAAAATAACGAAAATAATCGATATTTTTGACTCCGCCCCGAAAGGTTCACGATTTGTCCTCCAGTTGGCAGCACATTTTGTCTAGTCGGTTGGGCAACTTTAAGAATATATAAACAAGGGTATTACTAAGCTCTAGGCTGTGTCTGGCTAGCTTGTGTGACACGGCCTTGAATTTTTACTCCCAGCGCGCGTCCTTACCACTTTTCATCTCGCTAGTTCGTGTATCACGGCCTTGAAAGTTTCACTTCAAAATATTCTATTTGGCAATTGCCTAAAATTTTATTTGTTTATATAAAGTGAACCAAAGTCGTAATATACACTTTAAACACAGTAGGCACAATGAAATTGCTAATAGGTCTACTTCATTTTTAATACAAATTAAATTATGAATTTTCACTTTTCTTTCGCATCCTATACAGGGTGTTCCTTAATGCGGCTACCTCTCGCATGCGTCGGCTACCGTGAGCGTCGGCTACCTCTCGCATGCACTTGTGATGTGTGTCATCAGTGTTTCACAAGTACATGGGACCTACTGTTTATCGTCGAATCCGAACGGCACTATTTGAGAGGCTGTATAAGGCACATATACTCAAGGTTGTTTGCCGTTGCCTTCCTTGAGGTGGCGGCTCGTTGGTCGCTCTATTTAGATAAATAAATATTTTTATTTAAATAAATAAAGCGACCGTACTGGCTGGGGATCGAACCCAGTACCTTCCGCTCCGCAGATCGACACACTACCGCTGGAGCTACGACCGGCCACTAATTCCAATGACTTGCTAATATTTAAAGAGGTGAATCTTGGATCTATTCTAAGAAAATTACTTTATATGAATTTATATCCTAAACACCTTATTTTTTGAGACACAGGGTGGTGAATTTCTTTAATTCTACCCCGAACTACACGGACCCCCTTGGTCTTGGTATTCCCTTGGTATTCCAGTTAATAAGTAGTCTGGGTCTTGCAGGGTCTTGTTCTTCCTTCAAGACTTTTGCAAGTCTTTCATTTTTTAAATATATTTTTATTAGGGGTTTCTACATTGAAAACCTCTAAGTAAATGTAGAATGTTATGTTACAAGATAAAGGCATTGGCATAAAAATAAATGGCGTCCCAATTAACAACCTTAGGTATGCAGACGACACTGCGATTATCGCTGACAATCTTGAGGTTCTTTAAGAACTTCTAGACGACATAGTTCGGAAAGGAGATCCATTGGGCATTAGAATAAACACGGCAAAAACGAATATAGTCGTTAGTAGGAGAAATATTCCATCACCCAACATACGAGTATACGGACAATGCGTAGACACGGTAAATAAGTTCAAATACCTGGGATCCAGGCTAACATCGGACCTTAAGCCCGACTTAGAAGTTACATAGCGTATAGAACAGGCTAGATCAATGTTTAACAAAATGAGAAACCTCGGCTGGTAGGGAGACATGGACTATTAAAATGAACACCATGAGACGGTTGGAAGCTTTTGAAATGTGGATCTACAGAAGACTCTTGAAAATACCCTGGACAGATCATGTACGCAATGAAGAGGTTCTTGGGAGGCTTAACAAGGACAGGAAATTACTTGCAAATATAAAAAAATTGGTCAAGTGCGAGTCGGACTCGCGCACGAAGGGTTCTGTACCATTCATTATTTATACAACATTAGACACTATATTATTATAAACTTTTTTCCGATTTAGCTGAAATTTTGAATGCGCGAATAAGTAATTTAAAAAATAAATGAAGAAACACATTACTAAAAATTATTAATCAATAATAAATATGTAAAAAGTAAATTAAAAAATTATTAAAAAAAATTATTTTAATTGATTAAAAAAAAGTCGCCTTGACTAGGATTCGAACCTGCCTTACTACGGCTCCAACGTCATAACAGCGTAAAGTCCTAACGCTTTAAGCCACGCGGCCACCGAGGACTTGAACGATTCTATGTAAAATTCTTACTTAAAAGATAATGTTTAGTGAAAGTCCTTTTTTATTTATAAACATTTATTTACTTCTGTTTTTAGTATTTGTTCTTATAGCGGCAACATAGATACATTATCAGTAAAAATTTCAACTGTCTAGCTATAACGGTTCATAAGATAGACCTTTGTGACAGACGGACGGACGGACAGCGAAGTCTTAGTAATAGGATTCCCGTTTTTACCCTTTGGGTACGGAACCCTAAAAACGAAAGACAGCATACCTGGGTCACGTCATGCGCAATAGCAGAGCAAAGCTTCTGAAGTTGATTATAGAAGGAAAGGTAGAAGGCAGAAGAGGACTTGGGAGACGCAAGCACTCTTGGTTGAAAAACTTACTGGACTGGACTGAACTCACACGAACTGTTTCGAGCTGCACAGGACAGACAGTGTTTCGCCGCTATTGTAGCCAACCTTCATTAGAAGATGGTACTATAAGAAGAAGAAGAAGAATATTTTGGAGGGGGCTTAATCACCGCGACCTTACAGATCTTGTTGTGTGTTCCCCTTTATCGAGTTTTAGCGGGTTATAACTCATCATAGAGTCTCAGGGCTTTCATATAAGCCAGTATCCGAAACGGCTTCACAGAGGCCACCTTTAAGTAAACAGTATTTTTAGTAATTTAACTGGTCGGCTTTGGTCTTGCAGTTCAAACGCTAGTCTGGGTCTTGCTTTTTTTGCAAGATCAAGACCAAGACCACAAGACCAAAAAAATTGTTGTAATTACAAAGTTTCAATTATTTCATAGAATTTAATTCTTTTAAAGCATCAAACCATTCAAAATAAGTTAGCTGATATGGCACTGCAACTCGAATCGGCAAGGCTGCTGACTTGGAGGGCGGCCTGGTTGAAAGACAGCCACAAACCTTATACCAAAGAAGCTGCAATGGCTAAATTGGCTGCCAGTGAAGCAGCTACTTTTTTGAGCCACCAATGTATACAAATATTAGGCGGTATGGGGTAAGTTATTCAAGAAACGTTATTAAGAAGTTAGTCAAGTACGCCTTCTGATGTTTTTGATAAGGTGATGCTAATTTTTTGCACTTGCAGAGGATAGATTCGGAATTATAATTATTTAACTTCCTTGCAACTTTTGTTTATTTTCCTTTGAATAAAAAGATTAATGAAGGAGTATAATGCTATCCATGTAGTCATGCATGGTAATATACATAATCGTCTATAGTAGTAATATACATAATCGCGCTTACGAGAATATTGATTATTTTCTTAAGACAAGTAGGAGAAGCACTGCATATAAATCACACGGCAGGCCGACTCGCTTTGGCTACGCGCATATCCTTGCGCACGCCGCCATTATGGGTGCCAGCAACAGAAATTAACCAGTGTCGTAGTCAGTCGTAGTTTTTGTCATCGACAACATACAGTTACGGCAGCTTTGAGTCAGTAGCGTGCGGCTTAATTTATTTCATTCTTTTCGTGAGTGATACATTTTTTTTTAGTTTTCATTTCTTGTGTGTTATATTTTATTTTTGTCACTATTATAAAATAAGTTGAACTTGATATTCATATCATCAATACATAGAACACAATATCGATTAAGTTCATCCGGTTCATCGAAACTTTCAATTTTGCTTTTTAGAGTCTCAAATACACTAAGATTTTTTAATCCAGATTTGATATCGATGTCATATATTCATTTTCTTAGTGGCTCTAGGTCTCTGGACGTGGAAGGCAGAATGGATTTGTCAAGAGCGTCTTGTATATTTTTGGCCGGGAAAAGTATATCGCCAGACATTTATATTTAAATTCATCAGTTTCTTCCTTTAGCTGATTTGTTAATTAGAGCGAAATTTGAATATTAACAAAATTTGCTACGTCCATTGATGGACATAATTTGTACGTAGCCTCTTTATATTGTTCAACAGATATATTATTCGGTATTCTTTTAACTCTTGTTTGTAACTCCTGGCATGTTTTTTAATTTTAATTGTCTATTCTCTACAGTTAAATGTTTAATTGATTTTATCATTTTTACTTTTCGAGGAGTATGCGCGGTTTACGATTCATTTGTTTAGATAAAAGTATTGTGTAAATAAAATTCAGTTTCTGTCAATTACAGTATTTTTTTAATACCACCCTGTCTATCAATAGTTTATTTTCTGGGAAATTTTTTGATACGTTTTAATCCGGCCCTGACTCGGCACCCATAATGGTGTTTTCAAGGTCAAATTTTATAAAACTTAAACAATGGAATCTGGGCAGAGTTAAGCCGGAGTCTCATGCATCCGAAATCCGATGGTACGACATCCGAAATTTGAAGTTATCGTGTGAAATAAAAAAAGCCTGTCACATACATCCGAAAGTTCGTTCCGAAATTTGACAGTTTTAACATTTTTCTGCTGCGCTGAATAGAGATTCATGTCATGTTTTATTAGAGAAACACTTATAAAAACAACTTCCTCGCCAAATATCCCGAAATTGCCCACTTCCCACTAAACTTGTTTTTAAAAACAAATGTTTTCAAAAAAAGTGAGGTTAAAAAACACGATATCGTACAAAAGTTAAACAAAATTTAACTTTATACGACGTCGGATGATTAGTTAAAATTATCGGATAAAAATTGTTGTCAAAATATTTCGACCAATAGGAGCACCGTCGGATCGTCGTGTCATCGGATTTCGGATGCATGAGACTCCGGCTTTAGCCTGCCGTGTGATTTATATGTCGTGGGAGAAGTACGAACGGCATTTCCTTAAGTTCTCAAGGTTAATTTCTTAGGGTAGGGTGAGGTTAGGACTAATACTCGAAGTATGAACGCACCATAAAGTGAACAGGCAACTTAATTGCGGCAAAGTAAAATTGTTGCGACTTTTCTTGTATGCAGGTGAACTTGCCAACTGTAAAACGGTCTTGAGATTGTTATAAGTTAGGAAATTTTGAAGCAAGTTTTTGAAGCTGTTTAGGGAATTTGCAATTCATTTGGCAACCCTGTTTTACAGGTACGTCACTGACATGCCTGCCGAACGACATTACCGAGATGCTCGGATAACAGAAATTTATGAAGGAACGTCAGAGATTCAAAGGTTGGTAATCGCTGGTCATTTGATTAAGGAAATGGGACTGTAAACTGTATATATATTGTATATATTATTACAAGCTTAAGTTTTATATGTGGCCAAATTAGTATAGTAGTTATATTTATATTTAAACTTTTTACTATTTACAAAAATATTTTTTATACCTAAATATAAATTTTTTCTCTTCTTATTCCTATTTTTTTTTACTACCTATTATGTTATAAAATGTTTCACGCATATAATTAAGAATTCTATTTCATTAAAGTTGAACTAATTTGACAGCTATGCTGAAGTAACGCCAGGAATACCACAGCCACCTAGATTTATCAAATAATAAAGATCTACCGACACTAAATCATAAAAATGAAAATATCTAGGAAAATCTTTGTTTGAGGAGTAGGCAACCTTAATAGTATTTTGAAGAGACATGAACTCACCATTGAATATCGGAATAATATACTGGGTGTTCCATTTAAAATAAAAGAGTAACTTGCTTTTAAAGGTGACCGATCAATATTAATTTTGCCTCACCCTGTATAACTTTTTGAGTCAAGTTTTAATTTGATTTAAAGAAAGTACAGTTAATAATTAATTACATATTAGGTTATACAAGGTAAATTCCAATTTAGGTGGCTTTTATTAAAATTTAAAAATTGTTTTCAGAAAATGTTAAATATTACAGTTGGGGGTTAGAACCTTTGGTGTTACACAGCAAAATAAAACACCAAATTACTACAATACACCAAAACACTTTTCTTTGGCACTGGACGCTCGTTTCGCTAACTGTTTTAGCACCATCAGCAGATGATTAAAAACTAAACTAATATCTACAAATCGAGCATTTTTAAGTGGAGAAAGATAGGTTAAAATATATTTCAATACTGTTTGATAGAGAGTTATCCCGTGGTTTAAAAAGAATTTTTAAGAATGTCAATTATAAACTTGTGTATAGTGCTAATAATTAGGTAATCCTAAAGATAAAACACCTCCACTGGAAAGGTCGGGTATTTATGAGATTTCATGTAAATATTGTAATCAGAAATATATTGGGCAAACTAGAAGATCAATATTAAGTAGATTTAAAGAAAAATATGGCTCAGATATGGTAGACCGGATAAATCTTGCGTTGCTTAACATATTGTTGATAAATATCATTGGATAGATACTAATATTATTTAAAATTAATTAAATAAGTATCATATTACAGGCAATTAGGTGCATATGAGAGATGAACCAAACCATATTAGCATCTTCAGCAGATGAATAAAACTTGAGTTTTAATGGTTAGCGAAACGCCCGTCCAGTGTAAAAGTAGAAGTGTTTTGGTGTATTGTGGTGATTTAGTGTTTTATTTAAATGTTAAATAGGTATGTCAAAAACCGTACATTTTAGTCATATACTTCTCTAATGAAATTCACTTTTATTTTTCTCTTAGAATCCGCAAACGAATTAATATATGGGGTGTTCCATTAAAAAAACACAACTTTGATGTGTAACTTTTTTTAGAGACACCCTGTAGAACTCTCTAGCCTCCGCGTCGTATGAGAGGCGCCACCCTGTGTTATTTACAGTGATAACTAATAAATATTCGAATTTTTTATATAATTTATTGTCAATCAAATGATCAAAATCAACATAGCCAACTAATATTTCATTGTTGATCACTTCATACTTTCTGTTAACAAAAATCTGCAAATCTTGATTTAAATATATTTTATTAAACAACCATTACAATTTACAACATTCTGAGAGACATCCTTTAAAAACTAAAGTAACGTTTCTATGTTTATATAAATATAGCGTCGTTATGAAAATTTAGCGCTTATAAAAAAGGACACCGAAATTTAGGAATAGCTTTGTATAAAGTACAAACTTAAAAATATTTAAAATGCTTTGTTACTGAAACTAAAAAGTGTATAAAAAGATTTTAATTTACAAGTTATCGGCAGACTGAATCCTAGAGAACAACAAAAGAATAGTTTAGGTATCTGTTTAAAGCTTTTAAAAAATTGGCTTTGTTACAAAATGCCTTTTTTTTACAAATATAAGAAGAAATATTAGGTAACCTAGTTATCAGTCCGCCATAGTAATTTACGAAGTTTTTAGGCGAGTTCAGATTTTGTTTCATCTCATCAACATCTGTAAGAATCGGTCTAAATGATAAATATGTCTTTTTAATCCGTTGGTCTTTTTTCACTGTGTTTTTTCGTATATTCTTCTGCGTTTTTTGTAAATTTCTTCTTATCCTTTAAATATTCTTCCGCCAGGTCTGCTCTAAGGGGGTGTTCGGGTTCGGGGTCATTTACAAGTGCTACGAGTGCTTGAATAACTGAAATAATAATACAGGGTCGCTTTAATTTTTTTTTTGGTTTTAATAGAACCCCCCGTATATTATTGCATATTTCAATTCTTCCTTCAATTCTAAGCAAAAATCGAAATACACACAATGTACCTTAAAGCAACTGTTTCCGAGTTATTGACTTTTGAAAATATCACTTAAACAATAATTATTTGATTTAATTAATTTCGATGTGTTTGGTTTGATTTAATGATGCCATTTTGAAGAAACTGTGATACTATTGTAATGAGTTTTTAAATTCCTCTTAGCTACTAGTAAATTTAAGTATACAGGGTCAGTCATAAAGTTGTGTCACATCAAACTTTATTTTATTTAAACGTAACCCCCTGTATATTATTGCACATTTCAATTCTTCCTTCAATTTTAAACAATAATCATAATACACAATGTACATAAATAAATAATTTCCAGACTTACTACTACTACTCTTATTTTATACATTTACAAAAATGCTAACTTGAGAACTAATGTCAAATATTATTAAGTATCACAGTTTCGGCATAATGGGACCCTTTAAATAATTAATTAACCATTAATATAAACAAATTAATATATTTCTTTATTATTTAACTTACCTTGATCAGTTTTAGTTGCGGGTTTCCAATTTTCAGCGCTGATAATCGGCAAACACACTTGTCCTTTTTCATCAATATTAGGATGATATATTTTCGTTTTGAAATTAATTTTAGGTGGTTTAAAAGGATATTCTGCCGGAAAATTTATTTCTATTTTAAAAGCTCCTTTGTTATAAGGCGGACTATCCTACAAAAATTATCTAATCTATAAATAGTGTAATTTCTATTTTTAGTCTATAATTCAATTTCCCCTTTGGTTAAATTTAACTTCCTTGAAAAAACATATTAGGAAATTGAGTCGTGTGAAGAGGTTGAAGCTTAAAACATTATAAAACAAATGGTAGAATTAAAATTTCACATTTTAGATCAGTTTGAATATGTAAATGAAGAATGCATTTCAATCACCTAGTATATTTGGTATTGATATATACTTACTGGTACAATAAGACCTTGCCATGTTAATATATTCGTTTCATCAACTTGAATGTCTCGGAACGACTTTAGTCCCGAGTTTCGTATGTCTCCTAGTTCCTAAAAAATATTTAAAATGATGAACTAACCATTTATATATTGTAAGTGGGAATGTCTAATATTTATTTAGTTTTATAAACAATGTTAACCTTGGCTTAATATACAGCAAAGTAATGTTTGATAACTAAATTAAACTTTAAAAAACAAATAATATGAAATTGTAATGAAAAACTTACCTTCTGCAACCTTCTAGTGGCTGCCATTTTGTTTATATTTTAGCAAGTCACTTTTTACCGATATAATTATATATTTTATAAAAATCTAATAAACGCACTAATTTAATTTATAAATGTTCAACTAAAGCATTCAAAAACACTTGAATTTTCTTTAGAAAGATCTCATAATGTTCAATGCCTCTTTTTTTCTTCTAAACTTTCCCGTCATATCTGTCAAAATTCTGTCCACAGATTCTGTCAGTAACGTTTATTTATAGTACAAAATGAAAACTACTGCCCAAAATAAAAGTGTGTCATCCTTGAAGATGTCCACCCACAGAAGATATCATATACGCTATATAAACACCTTTTATAGATAAACAAGAATGATAACAACCCTGGCAGCGGTGCTATTTTTGACATCTTGTTGACATCCTTTGCAACTTTCCGTAAACAGTTTCTCGGAGATGCGAGTGATATTTGAAGATTGAGAGGTCAAGAATAGGTAGCCAGCAGCCAGTACTTTTTTGTAATTTGTACTTTTGTATCTAACCCTTTATGATAATTTATATATGATTCACATAGAATTAAAAATCTATGGTATGATGTCACTTGCCACCTAATTGTCATTATTGTCAAAACTTTCTGTTAATTTATTTGTTTTAAACAATGACGTTTTAAATTTATATTTTTTATTTTACCATTTAAAGATTTGTTAATAAATATTAGCAGTTAAAGACAAACTAAATGGAACATTTTCATCCAGTAGAGCAGTTTTATGGTGTTTATTTATTGTATTGCTTAAATCCTAAATATACTGGACGAGTTTACATTGGTTACACAGTTGATCCCAATCGTAGAATAAAGCAGCACAACAAAGGAAAGAAATTTGGAGGTGCTTGGAAAACTAGTAGTAAAGGCCCTTGGTAGATATTTATGCAAATATATGTTAAATATTTTTTGTTTGTGTTCATATATTGATCGTTTTAGGACTATGGTAATGATTATCCATGGGTTCCCAAACGATATATCAGCCTTAAGAGTAAGCAAATGTATGTAATATGTTTAAACTATGAAAATTATTGTTTTATATGTTCTTTTTATTTAGTTCGAATGGGCATGGCAGCATCCACATGTATCAAGAAGGCTTCATGGTGTAACAAAGAAAAAACCTAGAGAAAAAGTTTATGATTTTCACTTAAGAGTTCTAGCAGAGATGTTGCAAGTTGGCCCTTGGAACAGACTACCATTAACAATACGTTGGTTAAATGATGAGTTTGTTCGAGATTTTCCTGTAAGTTTATCAGTAAAGTTGTCTTATATTTATTTAGTTCTATAGATATTTTAGAATAATAAATGCCCGCCTCTGCATATGCCAATTTGTTATGGTCCTGTGATTAGTAAAAAAACAACAAAATCTGCAGAAAAGTTATATCATTCTCAGTCATTTGATGACAGTATATGTTACAGTTGTTCCGCGTTCATTGAGCCATCTAAAAGAATGACATGTTTGAGTAGTTCATGTGATTTAATTTGCCATATCAACTGTATGGCGAAGTTTTTTTTGTCTAAAGGAGAATATGTACCTATCGAAGGAACATGTCCAAAGTGTAAAAGTCAGTTTTTGTGGGGTGATGTAGTCAGAAAGTTTAAAGGTTGTTATAACAATGAAGATGTTCAAATTAATATTGAAGAAGGGAATGATTTTTATGGTTCTGATGAAGAAGACTGATTGTTTTAAGATTTTATTTTTATTTTCTTATTATATAAATTATAAATAAATAAAAAAGAAGTATTTTTTTTGTTTTATTTTTGATATTTACATCTTAACACAGATCTTAAGTTTAAAATAAATATATATTTTTAAATAATTACTAGCTAATCAATAAATACCTAAACATAAATACATGGCAATAGCAATTACTTTTTGGTAAACAAAATACACTACATAAAATTCTTTATTTGTCTGTGGTTTGAATTGAATTTTGTAATTAAAGTCCTGAAATCTACATAAGAATAGTCAAAAAATGCAGCAAAAGTCGCTTATTCCTATACAAAATTCACTACAAATTACGTTACTGCAGCAAAATCCATCTTATATTTGCTTTTTATTGTCATTATTGTTGCAAATCTCGCATTTTTTCATAGGTTTTTTACACAGGTATAATATTTTTAACGTCTTATCCATTTCAAATCCTTATCTAATTTTAATAAAATAGCATATCTAAAAAATCAATTTAGGATGCAAATATCTTGCTGTAGCAAAATCCCCAATATGCGTCATGCTGCAACAAAACCCGCCTTATCCGAATAATTTTTGTGTTTTTTCTCTTTAAAAATTAAATATTAATTTTTATTCCTAGAAAAACGAGATACAAAACAATGATTCCATTCAATTATTGATACGTTTTTTTTGTAAAATAACGCATCCAACATTTGCTAAAACAATTTTATTATTGCATATAAATATTATCTCGAAACAACGTTTTTGGGATAAGACGGGTATTGTAACTTGACCAAACTTGACGCCTAGTGATTATACATAGAAAACAAACACTTTGATCATATTTTTTTTAATATGTATTGTACCGTATGATCGAAAAAAAAACTGCGTCCAGTTGGCTTGGAATTGACGATCGATGACATTCCACATATAATCTATACTAATATATAAAATCCTGACTGACATACTGATTAATCACGATCCTGCTCAAACCACTCAACGTAAGCTCAATTTTCGCATACAGATTGATTCTAGGGTGTAGAGGTTCGATAAGAAGGGATTTTTCGAAATTCCAGTTCCAAGAGGGTGAAACCACCCCTCAAATATTACAATATTTTTAATTTAAAAAACGGTCAAGTTTCCGAAAAAACGCTTAAACACGTATATTTTATTTTGTTTTTTTACATATTTTAAGATTTTTTAAAAATGTATACAGGGTGTTTTAAAAAATCTGGTCATTGATTAATCACGATCCTGCTTAAAGCGCATGACGTAAAAAGCTGATTTTTGGAAAACAGATTGACTTTAGAGTGTAGAGGTTCGATAAGAAGGGATTTTTCGAAACTCGAATTCTAAGTAGGTGAAACTATCCCTCAAATATTAAAATATTTTTTATTTAAAAACCGGTGAGTTTTTCGGAATAACTCTTAAACACGTATATTTTATTTTGTTGTTTTACATATTTTAAGATTTTTTATAAATTTATACAGGGTGTTTCATAAAATATGACCGTTGAGTAATCACGATTCTGCTTAAACTGCTTGACGTTTAAAGCTGATTTTTGGCAAACGGATTGACTGTGGGGTGTAGAGGTTCGATAAGGAGGGGTTTCTCGAATCTCAAATTCCAAGAGGGTGAAAACGCCCCTCAAATATTACAATATTTATTATTTAAAAAACGGTTAGTCTTTCGGGAAACGCTTGGACAAGCATAATTTATTTGGTTTTTTTACATGTTTTGAAATTTTTTAAAAAATCATACAGGATGTTCCAAAAAGTTGGGTAATTTCTTAACCACGATTAAACAGCTTGACGTAAAAAGCTTATTTTTGGCAAACGGACTTTTCGAAAGTCAAATTCCAACGAGATGAAACTACCCCTCAAATATTACCAAGTTATATAATAATATCGCCATATTGTTCTTTCTCATGCTGACATAAATGTGAGAAAATGTTATCCAGTTTGTATGTTAATGAAAATTCTTGCTTTGCTTTATCATCACCATTACAAATGATTAATTCGACGCGAACGAAGTCGCTGGTACACGCTAGTTTTCATATAAAATGAAAGCGATCTTCATTTTATAGCCATCGCTGATGCCGTGTGTTAATTATTTTCGATCATACGGTATTTGAATAATAAACATTATGATCATAGGTAATGTGCTTTGTACAACAGATAAACAAATCTCTTAAGAAAAATAATTATAATTTTTTCTGTCAAAGTTCCCTTAATGATATTTTTTTATTGTACTGTATATTTTGGTGTTTTTTTAAGTATTTTGTAGGGGCTACACCGCTACACCTATCAATAATCATAGTCATCTTGGCTGTCAAATAACCCTCCGCCATAGTCATCATAATCGTCGACCCCTGGTGGTACAAAAGCCCCATTTAACGCTTCTGAAATGGGTTCACCAAATCCAATTCGTGTTGCTACTCCATATATCAGTCGCATTACAGCTAATCTGAAACGTGTTTTTAACAGCTAATTTTACAGTTAATTTACTCTTGATGTAATCTGTATACTATTTTTTATTTCGATGCAGAATCAAAAAATGAACCTTTTTCTGTTTAAAGCATAGAATAATTAAGTTTAAAGTATTCTTATATTTTTAATTGTTTCGCAGATATTCGCGGTAGTATACAATATATGGCTTTTTCAATAGTAAAATAAAAGAGAAACATCAATTGAGGTGGCTTTGATAAAAATTTACTGTTGAAAGAGCCATATAATGTAATACCGTATGATCGAAAAAAAAACGGCATCCAGTTCATGCCCAGTTGGCTGGGAAATGACGATCTATGACATTTCCCATATAAATTTACATATAAAAAATGACAGCGATCGATCTTCATTTCATAGCCGTTTTTTCTCGGTATAATATACAGGGTGTCCCAGAAATAAGTGCAAGTATTATAACTGGTAGTATAGTTCAACCCCACAAAAAACGCCTATGAGGTTTTTTTCGTGAAAAAAACAATTTGAAAATTCGAAATTTTTTGAAAAATTTTTTGGAATTTTTTTTAGTTAAAAAACATAATTTCTTGATAATATGGGAACATAGGTATTAGATTAAATTTACAAGAAAGAAAATCCAGAAAATATTCAGTGGTTCTCAAAATTTTAGCAAAAAATAATTTTTTTGGAAATTTTCAAAGTAAAAATAACTCCGCTATTTTGGACTTATTTGAAAAACGATAAAGAGAAAATATGTTTCTTTTATCGAGATCTACCACCCCTTAAAATACTTGCACTTATTTCTGGGACACCCTGTATAATGAATATCTGCAGAACCGTTAAAAACATAGCAATAGGTACTTTAAATAAAAAAATGTTTTCATTTATTAATTCTGCATCTAAATTAAAATTAATAGTAAACATATATAGCATTACAAATAGGGCAATATTGACCACTGTATACAGGGCAAATCTTAGATAAGTGCAAATATTTTCAGTGCTGATGGTAGATCTCGATACAAGAAACATATTTTTTCTTTACCGTTTTTCAAATAAGTCCAAAATAACCAACTTATGTTACGTTGAAAATTAAAAAAATAATAATTTACTCAAATTTTGAGAACCACTGGATCTTGTTTGTTTTTTTCTTTCTTTTTTTTTAATTTAATTTAATCTACTAGGTACCTATATTTCCATATTATCAAGAAATTATATGTTTTTTACAAAAAAAAAATTACCACACTGTATCTTAAAAGTTAAGATGTTTAGGACATACATTCATATGAAATTTTTTTCTTGGGATACCGTGGGAAAATTTGCGGTGAACCAGGTTCTAAAAAGTTTTTGAAAAATATACAGGGAAATTTAAAAGAAAATGCTCGATTTTCAACATCTTTTTTGCGAAAAAAACCTCATAGACGTGTTCCTGGGGTCGAAATATACCAGCCCTGAAAATATTTGCACTTATTTAAGACTCACCCTGTACATTTAAGAATGGTTCTTTTTAAAATCGGCAGATTGATAGCCAGTTCCGGCTAAACCGGAAGTTCTAGTAATATTTTAAAAGGGATGTACAGTGTCTCTGGTAAATCTTGAAATATCCTGGTCTAAAATCTTCAGTACAATAATTCAAAAAAACTTTTAATTGTTTATGAATCGTGTGAAGAACCCTCTGTTACCTGACGAAAATAAAAAATTAAAAATACTACATACCTTATAAAATTAACAGCGTTGGTTTCCTTTTGTCTTAACATCAATCCTTTTGAGTTTTTCTTCGATTTTTTTCTTCGGGCATCGCAATTTACTGCAAGTAGTACGGCTACTATCAAAATAACAAGCCTAATCTTCGTATTGGAGTTCATCATAAACTTTCAAAGAACACTGACAACCGCGTAATTCTTTTCTTGAATGAAAATATCACATGCATTGAGTTATAATTAAATGCCAGACACTAGGTACTACCGCTAAAAAAATCCATAACAGGAAGACCCACTCTCACAAACTTTTGTTCCGATTATGGTTGAAGATATAGCGATTCAAATATACATAATATAGAAAGTAAATTGTAAGCGTAATTTTAATGTTGCTGGTATGTTTGAAAAATGTTTTTTTAAATATATTGCGGGTGGTGCTTTAACTGAAACTTTGTCGTACTGAAAACAGACGAACTATTGCCCTGAATTTGAGTAATAAATTATACCGTTATGGCGATTGGAATGTGGGTTAAGTTGGTGTCGATGCTGTCGCGAATATAAAAGAAATCGTACTTAACGAAAACTTATTTTTCCAAAAACTTTGATACTTTTGGTTTTTGAAAAATTGTACAGGGATTTCAGAAATATTTTTAGTGCGATACCTCTGTAGGTTTACGTATTGGGGATTAAACAAAATTAAACGTTAAAGAGTAGTAAAGACAGAGTAAGAGAAATAAAAATAAACAAAAGGCGATGAAAAAGTTAAGAAAAATTTATGTTTACTTTTTTTTAATAGAACTGGAACACCTTGTATATTTTTAAGTTTTTTTTTTGAAAATAATAAAAATATACCTTTTCTAATTTTAGATATATAAATAGATTATAATAAATACTATATTTGCCCGAATCGTTTTTGAATTATTTTGGTTTAATCAATCAACGGCTGCTACACAAAAGAAAGATTACAGAATTATTTATATTTTGTCTCCAAGGCACACTATGTAGTTTGTGTGGTAAAGATTGCAAAACGGATCACGCAAATATATACCGTATGATCGAATAAAAACGGCGTCAGCGATGGTTACGAAATGACGGTCGATGACATTTCCCATATAATTTTACGTATAAAATGACAACGATCGATTTCATAGCCGTCGCTGACGGCGTTTTTATTCGATCATACGGTACAAATTGTATACAGTATGTCCCCGGATTGTCTTTACAAGAGAAAAAACTTTTTTTATTCACATTTTAAGAAAAATGCATTCTTCATAAAAAGTTTTGCTTATTCTAAAATGGTTAATGCCTTTTATACTTTTCCAAATTTCCATACCACTTTAGAGAAAATTAATATAAATACATGAGAATAAGGTTGAATTTTTTCTAGCTCTAAAGAAGTTTTAAGTTTTCTAGTTTAGAAGTTCTAAAAATTGAAAGGCTATGGTAATATAATTTCGATTTCATTCTTTGATAGATGATTATTATTCATTTTGATTAACGATATTGTTTGCTGTTCTTGTCTCACATTTTTTGATACCTTTGCCTTTTTCTGTATCATTAAACTAAATAAATTTTGTACTTCCTTAACATTTTAAAACAACAAAAAATATGACTTTTATTAAAATTCTATCAATATGCTTCAATTTTGATTTCTGGGAGAAAAAGTTCAACTATATTTTAATGTTTTTTTTTAATTTCAACCTGGAATGGGAATTAAGTAGTTTCACTTTCTGGTGATTCAGGTAAAACATTACACAGCTCCTGCTTTAAGGTTTTTACTAGCCACCTATCTCTAAAAACCCTATATACAGGTTGTCCCATTCTCATGAAGATATTTATAGGAAAATATGATGCTTTAACAACTCCATAAAATATGACGTTAATTAAAATTAAAAATAACAATCTATTAAAGAATTAAATCGAAATTATATTATGCAACCCTAAAAACTGGTTTTACAAAACAAAGTAGGTATTTGTCTCTTGTCTAATATTCTAATATCTACAACATGAGTCAAGGGTCTTGTTAAATATTTTCATCATTAATAATGAAGGGTAATCTTAATAAAATGTTTATGTTTGTTTGGTTAAATAAGAATCATTTTATTAATTAAAAAAACAGCCCCAATGAGATGGATGAGATATATCTATACAGGTATTATAATAAAATAAAAATCATAGTTTATACCCTTTTTATACCTACTAATATAATATTTTAATTTATTTTTCTCTCTGCAATACTTCTTCATTACATTATATTGTTTTTAAGAAACAGTCCAACATTATTGTTTCCAAATTTCGAGCTTGGGTTATTAAGCCTCTTTCCCACTTCTAAAAATATTTACAGTTCTTAAAAATATGAAGTTTAGGAAGTAAACAGCTTCTTATAACACCACAGTACTGTCTACTATGGTATTTTGGGGTTCATATGTCCGTTTTGTTGTGGATTGCTCGGCTGTGCATTAGAAGCTTGTTCCGTTGTTACACCATTATTTGCAGCACTAGTCATTAATCTACTCCTTCTTCTTGTATAATGTTGCCACAACAAAATTTGTTGATCGTCAATAAACTTAGTGCATTGAGCGTTGACTAACTCTCGCCGGAAGTGCTCGTATTGAAGTAAATCGAGAAAATACAGACACATTGGGTACTTCAGATATTTCGCATATTCTGGATCTTTCCAATACAGCAAATACTTTAAATAATTTATGAATGTTGGGTTTTTGAAGTATCCTCTTTGAGCTAGGACTGAAAAAAGAGAATATATTATAATTACTTACTAATAAAATAACATTGAAGGTTAGAACATACAATTTAAGTAATTTGGGTTTCCTAAACACTGTACGAATTCTAGTTCTATTTGGAACCGTAGCCTTTGTTGGTCGTCTGTCTCTGGAACGCCTGAAACATAATTCCAACCTATTTTAAATAAGGCGATGTTCTAAATTTTAAATTATCCTACTTTTTACACCAAGTCCTGCCATTTTTTGTTTATTTTCTAATATCAGGGTTGTGTCTTCGATAACATTTGTACAGAAAACTGGCTGAAAATGTACTACCAGGGACATTAATTGTACTAGAATATGAAGCACGGATGGGAGTTCAAATTGACGAAAACTAAAAACAGGATAGGCGTTTACGGTAGGCTGGATAGTCCTAGCGGCTTAGGCCTAGAAATTAATTAAAAAAAGAAGAAGAATGACATTTTAGGTAGCTGCGTTCGTTAGTATACTCTGTGGCTGCGTTCAGAAACTTTTAATCTCTGGTTGTGTTTGATCGTGACCGTTCGGTAGTCTTCGTCATGGCGCCATTTTCAAATTATAGTGTTATTGTTTTTTGAATTTGTTTGCGAATACTCTTTTCTTTTTATTTTTTTAAATAAATTAAAATGAAAGTCAATGGTATTTTTTTTATATTTTTTATATTTTATATTCAGTATTTTCAATTTAAATTGAAGTTTAAAACTTCAGTACATACCTAATTAGCAAAATTTTACCTCAGCTTATGATCCTTTTTCAAAAATCACTGGGTACTTCGTGCAGATTATGAATAATTATGGTGTGCAATCGGGAGATTAATATATTTAACAGAAATTGATATTTAAAATATAATTCTAACTAGCTTGACAAAACAATGTCTTCTCTGGGCCGAAACCAACAAAATCTGACATTCAACTGTTTCCAAAGCCTACTACTCCGCTACTCGCAAACATCAGCGGACACGGGGTGCAGGCACGGCTTGAAAATGACTGCCTATCATAAGGATCATAGGCGTCGATAACAGGTGCATTTTTTGATTGTCCATTTTATAACAAATTCTGCTGTGAATGAAAAATATTTACAGGATTCTATTTACAGCAAATTATAATTGAAGGGCTTATTGTAATAACATATGATAAGCCACTCAACCAGAAATCAGTTTTATTAACTAGATAACCAGTAACTATTGTTTTTCTTGCCTTTTATCCAACAAATTTGTTAGATAAATATTAGCGTGTCAAACTAAACTAACTCCAAATGGTCTTAAATGGTCTTTTAATACTTAAATTTACACATTTTTTCAAAACTGCCAAGTTTATATAATTCAGAATTATGGATTTGTGGCATATCATATTATTACAATAAACCCTTCAATTTTTTGTAAATATATATTTTTAAATCACCCTATACCTATGTAATATTAAAAAATATTTTAAAAAATGTGAACTTTTAATGTGGTATAAAAACTTTTAATGTTTGGTTCATTACTCAGAGAATAAAAATACTTTAGCAAGCCCCTGTGGCCTAATGGATAAGGCATCTGCCTCCTAAGCAGGGGATTGTGGGTTCGAGTCCCACCAGGGGTACTAACTTTTTTATTTTTTTTTTGTATTTTTTTAATAATATATCCGTTATTTATCGATTACTTATTCCATATAGTAATTATTGAAAGTTTGTTTTATTTTTTTTAGACGATAAGCAACAGCGCAGTCCATGGTGGGGCGAAGGTTTTTGAACCACGACGTCACGGCGAATAAACAGATAATGTTAGCACAGATGATGCTAGTTTATGATTTATTTTATAACAACTAGAAACACTCTTGTTAAACGGTTTTGTAAAGTACAGGGTGTCAAATTTGCGTGTGTTTTACAGGGTTTCAAAATGCGGTTTTCACATTGCTGTGCCTCATTTTTATGAATCTAAAGATGCTACACACATATTTTTTCCTTACATTGGAAGAGAGTTCCTAAAATACAGTGTGAATTTGAATTTGTAGCATTTTTCGACATCTCTCTTATCTCGGTTATCTTGTTCCTTATCGAAAAGGTGAAAATTGAGTCTAATATAGTTTATCATCTAGAATCTAGTGGCGTAACTAGTTTTTTGTTAGGAGGTGTCATGACTCAAAACTATGTTTTTTTTAAATGAGTTACCCTGTATATTATTTTTAATTGTTTTGCTATGAGCATTCTAAAAATATAATATATTCTATACCTACTTACTCTCATAAATAAGATAAACAATGCATTATTTAACATTTTAACATAAATCAAACCCAGTTTAAAAGAGTATTATTTAATTTAATTAAATAATTTTCCCTGTTATATTAATAAATTGCACTGAAAATGAACTTGTGAAGCTTTTATAGACTTTTGCAATAATTTTGCACACTAAAATTCGAGTGGAATAGCCAAATAAGTAATCAAAATTTGACGTCGAATAAATTTACCCTGTACATTGCATTGAATAAAAGTACATTGAAATAGTACTGGTACATAATAAGATCTACATCGTTTTTGTTTCTCCATTATCTAACCTTGCCTCATACCGTGTTAGTTGTTTTGCCTTATTTGCAAAGAAAATGTAAAATTATTCGGAACTAATCATAAAACACCTATCGTAGATCTTTTGCAATCGTGAGAAAATTATGACGAAACATTTTATAAGATTAGATTTAAAAATTTAAGAATACTGATTAAGGTCTATTCACAACCATCTAAAGGCGGAGATTGACTTGAGCCGAGCGCTGTAATGTAAAGGTGCGTTCACACTGCCTGCGCCGCTCCGCGCCAAACATTTTTTTAACATGTACTTTTGAAGTGTATTTTTTTAGCGCGCACAAAAGTATATGTTAAAAAAAATGACATGCGCGGAGCGACGCAGCCGGTATGAACGCACCTTAACGCATGTTCGCTGCTCGCGACAAGCGTCTTTTTATGAACCGAGACGCGAACATTTCGTTTCCAATGTTCGACTCGCTGTGTTTTTTTCCAGTATTTTTTCAGCGTTTAGAAAATGTCGGATCTAAAAATGGGGAGTGCTACGTTTATTCAAACCTTTTAGTTATTTATTACTAGTAGACCCTTCTACGCGTTGCGGTGGCTAAGGTATACGTTAACTACCGAAGTATCGAACTACCAAACTACGAACTACCCAACTACCGAACTATCTGTAATTTATAGCCTATAGGTCTTATTCTGATGTATAAGCTATATTATTGTAAAGTTTCACTAAAATCCATTCAGTAGTTTTTGCGTGAAAGAGTAACAAAGTTTCATACATCCATACATACAAACTTTCGCGTTCATAATATTAGTAAGGACATTTCTTACACCACCAATTGACAGAAAGACGTTTAACCACACAATTAAAGCCATTGTATCTACTCGAAATATGATTGGAAAACGGACGTTTCCCGAACCTGTACTGACTTTTAATGTAACAATCAAAGAGTTTGGCTAAAACATATAATCTAAGGCTAAAACAGTCGAGTGGAGCACCGCTGTTGTTCGCCCTTTTTGCCGATTATTTTCCGGTATTGACTAGCAAATGCTCGTGTTACAAAGCGTTACATTACAATGCACGGTTCAAGTCAATCCCTGCGCTCAGTTTCATTCCAGTGGCGCATCTAGAGATTGGATCTGGAAGGGGCAGTGGTAATATTTAAATAAAGTACTAGATTTACATTAAATCTTTGCGGAAAAATTTTGTGAGAAAAATTCTAGCGAGAAAAAAGTGGCAAGTCAAGTTGAGATGGATTTTTGGAGTCTCGCAACTCGGGCCCTATGTGAGCTAGGGGTTTGAAACTCGGAATGTAGATGGGGCTCTTCGAGGGACTTGTTCGACCCCCTTTCGTGATATTTTGACGATGTTTCGTGCAATACGAAATCCCATCATCAATGAATCAAATCAAAAATTGTCTGATTTAAATGAAATTTGGTATGTCGATAGACTGGACCATGGGCAACTTGATCGTGTACGACACGTGTCACTGTGACAGCTAGTTTTGACGTAATAAACGTCTAAAGTTGATGTCGTCCGATCGCGACCAAATTTGGTGGGTAGGCTATGTGAGCGACGGTGCACAAGGTCCCATCGGGCAAAGTTGATACGACGCCGACGTTTCGTTTACATCTTCATCAGGGTGGGACTAAGGATTTGATATTAAAGAAAAATGTGGGTCGATTTCGGTATAACTAGGGACGGGCTACAGGATGACGCCTGCGATGTTTTCAATCGATGCGATGCCTCTAAATGGACGAAATCATCAGGATTTCTCTTAATTATGGGTCGATTGGAACCAAACTCGGCACGTGGATAGAGGTATCCGAAACCCGAATGGAGTCCTCAGACGGACAGACGGACAGACAGACAGACGGAAGTAAGAAGAAGTTTTACTTCAAATATGCGCACATATATAATAGTGTTTTATTTATTGAAAAATATACAAATAAAAATAAAATACATTTTTTTTCATTTTTCACAAAACTGACATTTTTTCAACAATAAAACACAAGTGGTGGTCACAGAAATCTGCACAAGGCTGGTTTGTGTGTGACATACCGAAATCTTAAAAAGTAAATACATACAAATAAAATAAAATAGTGCTCACATACATATAAAATACATAGTGCTCACACATTTTTTTTAAATAGATCTTCTACAAGTATATTTGAAAATATTTCATAGTAATAAAACTAATTTTGTTGGTGTAATTTAAATTATGCATTAACTTACATTGCTGTATAAATTTCTAATGAATACATGTAATAGTAATTATAACGAGTGATATAATTAGAGATATTCTTCGCTAATTGATTGTAAAATTCAGTTTACGCACATCAATGAACTATATTTAGATGTCTGTTTACATTTGGTTGATTCTTGTACTTGATTTAAATAATATTGTAAATAGTATATTATAATTCTATGGAAAATACTTTTATTTTTACCTCTACGGAAAATAACTAGACATTAAGCGAAAGACAGTTTCACATAATAATTGACGTGCCTGCTAATTTGGGCTTTGCCACAAGATTAATTTGTTTATAAACTTTTTTAACTTTGTTTGGTAAAATAGGTGTGGCATTTGAACATATTATTTAAATTCTATGGTATAATATTAATGTAAGTAACTTAACTACAGCAAAGCAAAAGAAAACAAAATTATGGAAAATTTAAATTTATTTCATGTTATAGTTTTTTTGACTGCCAACAAGCCGTTTATTTATAATTTAATTTTTGCGTTAGTAATATAAAGTTGTCCATTAGTTATTAG